AAGATAATAAATAAGTTACAAATGATGATTAATAGGTGTCATCATTATTAGATGTGATGTCGCTATTATTGAAGGCTGCAGAACTATACATGAAAAATTTAAAGGAAGCTGTGTCATTACCTAGTCCAATTTCTTTGAAAGATAAATTCAAATAAATTTAATAGGTTGTTGGAGGTTTTAAAGATGGAAGAATAGGTAGAACTATAAATAATGTTGAAAGTATTTCATTTAAAGAGAATTAAATACTTAATTGTAGTTAAATATTTGATATATTTCCTTTATTGAATAAAAATCAAATGTTAATTGCAACTTATGAAAATGAATTGTTTTTATATGATGCAAATTTGAATTCAATAATATAAAGAATAGATTCAATGAGATTTGTACCATGTTCCTGTTTACAATTATTCAAATAGTAAAATAAGAATTTTATACCTTCTAATCTAATGTTATTAGGAGGAAGTGAATTTGATCCAAATATATATTTGTTTGATTTATATCATGGAAAAAAGATTTAAACATTTCCTGGACATGAGAAAAGTATTAGATTTTTATGTTAATTGGGAGATATTAATACATTTGTAAGTTTAGGTAGAGATTCAAAAATGTTCTTTTGGAATTTAATAAAAGGAGAACCACATTAAATATTATCTATTCCAACTATTGAAATAATTGAAATGTAATTTTAGGTATCTACAAAATGCATTTATACATTAAGTATAGATGGTAGAATCTGTATCATAAAAATATCTGATGATTTATTGAATTTTGGAAAAGCAGAAATAGTTAATTTGATTGAATTAGCATAGACATCAAGTTTATCTTAAATGATAATTGAAGAAAAATTAAAAGTAATATCTTTTAGTAATGGATGGTTGACAGGTTAGAATTCAATTAGAATATATGATGAGATTCCATTATAAACAGCTAGAAAAATGAAGAAAACGTTAGAAATAGGTTTAGTAAGTGAAATTTCATAATTAAATACAATAATTACAAAAGATTAATTGATTATAATTAGTATTGATAAAAGTAATGGAAAATTAAGAGCATTTGCTAATGGATAGAATTTAAATGTTATTTCTAATAGTTTATAAGATGTTTAAGATGATAAATAGACTAAATAATCAAGATGGAATATCAAATTGTTTACTATTAATGGATAATTAAATTTAATTAAGTTTGGAGAAAGTAATGAAATTCAGATTTATGAATTAAAATATAAATAATAATGAGTAATAAAATTAGAAGTCATAATATAAATGACTATTACCATGATCGATTGGATTCATCTTTCAATAATGTCAATATCTCATTCATAAGTACACTTCGAGCACCAATTTAAACTAATGATCTAAATAAAACTGTTCATGACATTCCAAGTTGTTTTGGTCGAAAGACTCTTTCAATGGAAAAACGTCATACTACTAAAGATATAGAAAAATTAGGAAATATTTCAATAGTATCATATTTATCTAAATAGAGTATGAACATTTGATACGTAATAGAATAGGAATTAAACCACATTTAGGTTCTATAATTTTCGAAACATCTCTAAGAAATAATAAGAAGCGTTCAATCTCATAAAATTAAGAACATAAACCTTAAAAGATAATAACAAAAGAAAGAACTATATTACCTAAAGTACTTAAAGATGCCTTTATAGAAATTTAAGAAAAAAACATCAATTAATTTATTCATTGTCTAAGAGAAGAAGGTTAAGGTACAATAGGACCAGCTTAAGTAGAATGGGTAACTTCATTAAAATCAGAAAGAAAAAAGAAAAAAAAGAGATGAATAATAATATATTAAGTTATTTTTATATTAATATAATTTATTAAGTATTCTCTAGATTATTATTTAGTCAAAAATTTGATTTTATTATTGATTATTATTTATTAATAGTAAGTTATATATATATATATATTAATAATTTAGATTAAATAACAATATTATTTATTAAAAATACTAAAATATATATTATTCAAATTCATTAGTGCAATTCATATATATTTATATATATATTCTTTTAATCCTCAAAATAAGTATCTGTATAATATTAATGGTAAATTGATTCAATCTATATTTAATAATATATATAAATACTTAATCATATTAATCTAATAATTTTTTAACATTATCATTCATTAAATAATTATATATTACAATATGAGAAGGTAATTTAGATTGTTATAATTTCTATTAAATATATTTAGCAGAATCTTAATGTAATTGATAAGTTTCCAAAGATGTAACATCATTAGTTGGAGAACAATCTGGGAATGTCATAGATATATTCTTATGTATAAAACTATAAAATGGAGTTCGATGACATTAAGTGAAAAATTAAACTTCAGTAGCATTTCTTTATCTTAAAATTGACATAGTTTTCAAGGCTCCAACATCTTAATATGTATTCATTAGAATAAAAAAAGATATGTTAGAAATTACAGCTAATAATATTATAATCTTTTTAATCTTTTTCCATTTAATTTTATCTAAATATTCTAAACCTAAACATATAAAGTAAATAATGATAGGGAATAATGGAAGTAAGAACCTATCCTCTTTATGAGCTGATAGACTCAACATTAAAATAGTGAAAATCATATAATACATTAATCTAAGTGGTTATGCACTGAATATCCCTTTTTTAATATAAGAATAACTAATTTTAATATTAATATTACATTCCAATAATAAATGAAATCACCCAACCAAGTTATACATATGGTAAACCTTATGTTATAAACCATAATCTATCATGCACTCCATAAAAAGAACTCATTCCTGACAATAAATTAAACTCTAAAAAATTGTAAAAGGTTGATGTTAATTTGCCATGATATAATGAATCAACTGAAATAGATAATATAATTAATAGTATTAGAGTTATACCATTTATTACTAAAATTTAAAATCTTCCCTTTAGATTAGTTTTTGCAGTTAGTAAATGATAAGGCTAATATGAGATTATAATGTATTAATTACCCATATAAAGATCCAAGGAATTATTGATGATTGACGTGCCATAACATTCACAATAACTAATAATCTACATAACAAATTGTTTTTGTTACGATTAGTTTATAAATATTAGACCCAATGATATAAAGCTAATGTAAAGAGAATTGTTTCAAAAGTATTTATAAGAGTTTTTGAAAAACAATTCAAAGAAAACCAAAGGGTATAATTTACCAAAATTATATATAATTTATTTCTTATTCCCTCTAATGTAAGTAATTTAATCAAATATATATCATAAATAGCTGAAATTGCACATTATAATCTAAAAGTTTATAAATCAATATTATACATTCTAGGACCATAAGCAATTATTTATGGATGATCTAAATTCAGTTTATTCAATATCCAATACAATAAACTAAATAAACTATGATAAATTGGGCCTCTTAATGGTTAATCCCTTGTCCATTCCCATGTTAGCCATCCATATCCAAAAACATCATTATGAGCTATCTCAGGACCTTACCACATTTCATCAGCATAAGGAAGTGCTTATGGTATTATCTTTTATTATTAGATATTTATACTGCCAAAAGGACTCTCAAAGCAAAAAATAAAATATACATATATTATAAATTAATTTATTAATTATATCAAAATAAATTTCATATATTATTTGTTTATTTATCTAAATATATATTATATTCACAAAATTTTTTGTTTGTATTATACTATGATAATAGATTCAAAGCACTTAATCTTTAAATAATTAATAACAATTCATTTAAGATTTAATTATTATTAATCATTATAAAAATGAAAATAAAAGTTAATATTAACCTTTATTTATTTTCTATAAAACATTTGAGAATATAAATTATTATGATAATAAAATTCCTCTTAAAATTTATTTACTTTTAATCATAATTTATTACAAACTTAAAAACTATTTTTTAATAAATTAATATATAAATATAATAAGTATAGAAATGTTGCTTTGTCTAAATAAATCGTCAATAAAAAGTCTCTTTAGAAGCACAAACCATTCATGTGAAAGTTTAACTGAGAGAGAGAGAAGAAGATCAACTGCTGAAAATTTAGACATTAATACCTATTTAAGTTCATTATAAATGATGAGTGATAGAAAGGATATTGACAAAAGAATATTTAAAAATTTAATTTAAAATAAAACCAAAAAGACTCCTTTAAAACAAAATCTATTTGCAAGTAATTCAGTAAAGGAATTAAATCAATCTACTTAATAATCAGCATCTAGATAAAAACCATTTACCAGAGCTAGATTTGCATCTCAAAGATCAACAATTTTAGGCAAATAAGCTTAAGCATAAGATTAATATGATGAATAAAATAGTGAGAAACTTTAATTACTTAATGAATCTCTCTTTAAACTTGTTGGATAATTATTAAAATTAAAAGATGAAATGAATAACAATAGAAAGTTTTAACTATAAATTTATAAACTAATAGGTTTAAAGAAAACACTTTAAAAATTATTATTTAATTTAGAAACATAAACAATAATTGAACCTTTAACAGTATATCATTTGAAATAAAATATATGTATCAAAGAACATGTAATGGATGGAACAACTCTTTTAAATCTTGATACATATAATTTTAATATAATTAGAGATATTAATTTTTTAATTGAAAAAATTGATGAATTATAAATACAAACAGAAGCAAATGGAATTCGTTAACTTGAATATAAAGTATCACTCATTCTTTTATTAGATTACAGATGAAATTTATAATCTCAAAATGGAACAAAACAAAATGAAACATAAAAGAGTTCAAAGTCCTAAATTATTATTTCAACAAAGAATTATGAGAAATCAATTATTACCAGAAGGTAGTATGGAATAAATAGAACAAAAATTTGGACCATTTCCACTTATTTAAAATAAAAACAAAATCATTCATAATTAGATTTAGACTATAATTAATAATCTCAATATCAAATTTAAATATTGAATCACATACTTAGTTTCTTTTATTATTCTAAAAAATAATCAATATTTTGAATTAAAGATTTAAAATGTAATACTATTGTCTTTGCACCTTAAATATCTAATTGATCAATACTATTTGCTCTAAAAAAACATGGAGCAAATATTATTGATAAATTGTATAAACCCATCTAAATTTTATTTCATTTTTATTACCATATTTTCATTTTCAAATTTTGCTACAAATTTTATAAATTCTATTAATCTGAAAATTGTTAATCTATTAACTTTAGGTAGATGTGCAAAAAATATGCTAAACATATCTATAAATTCTTTAGTTGGTATTTAAGGATCAGTGTCTCTTAAAATTTAATATATTTCAAAAGGAAAAATTGGTGTTTTTAAATTAATTAAAGAGTTTTTTAATACTGTAGCTATAACATCAGAATCTGATATTTTTATAGCTTCATAATTAGATTATAATAATTAATCTACTAATTTTATTTCTTCATCATGGGAACCTGACAATCGAAATATCCCTTATTTGCGTAAATTATCTTTATTTTTAATATAAAATTGTAATATCTCTTCAAGAAATACAGGAAGTCCTGATTAACCAATTGGATAAGAACCTAATTCCCTACCATAAAATGGTTATTATTCTTAAAATTCTATTTAATTACACAAGAATCTTAAAATTGATTAATGCAACTCAATATCATATAAATTCAGAAATGAAGTACTTAAAATTGTAAATATATTTTAAATACTTGTTTATTAAGTGTATTTTATCTTTTAATAACAATTATAGTGAAAAAGGTATTGTTTTTTCCTTCTTTCCATAATTCTAATTGTTGCTTATCACAATTAATTTATCAATTCTTTTTAATTATTAAGAATTCACCTTTCTCTTAAATAATGTGAAAAATTACTAAATAGTTTGTTTTATTAAATTTTTAACATCTATTGCTTTCATTTCTGTATCATCCTAAGAGCAAATAATCAAGATGAATCCTCTAGTATAAACTTAATCTTATACTTAAAAGGTCTGAATTGTTGTAAATAGGATTAAAATTTATTCACTATTTATTCTTCATTTTTATTTTGAATAATCAAATTATATAGCAAAACATAAATAGGCTATTCATTTTTATCTAAGCCTAATAAGAACTATAAATTAAATATACCTGCATTTAGTAATCCTTGAACTTCATATGATTAGCCTTAAATCATTTAAAACAAAATTTATAAAATTTATGGAATTATTTCTCAATTTTCACAAAATATTTAAAGAGCATTTTATAAAGTGAATAATTAAAATATTTTAATATTTAATTACATAATATACTTATTTAATTATTCTTTTATTCAGAGAAATAGTCAATATTAATATGATATTTTTTTGATTATAACTTCAATAAAAGGGTATTTCTTAAATATTATTAAATTTTATTTAAATAATTATATGAAATTTGATAGATCACAAATTATTTACTATATATGTTGGATGGGTATAATTTCATTTATTAATTAATAAATTCAAATTTCAACTAGAAACATCCAAATAACATATATCTTTTTAAATTATGGTATTTACTAATTTAAGTAAGTACAAATAGTTTTTTAAAAAAAAGGCTAAGTATATTGAGAATAATAATTGAAAGACTTCTCTAAAGTGTATAGAATGTTTAATCCAATCATTTTTGAAAATATAGACTAAAAAAACCAATTTTTTATAAAAAATAAAAAAAGAATGATTAAATTAAATTTAAAGTCTCAAAAAATTAAACAAAATGAAAATATCTTACTCATTTCTTTATTGAGTTTTAGTTTTACAAAAATAATAATTACTTTTTCAACATTATCTATTTTTTATTAAAATAGAGTTATCTATATACTAATTATATAGTTAATTAAATCTATTTATAAGTCTTATTATTAATAAATTATTCTAGAATAAATAAATCAAGAATCAACTAAAGTTTTATATATTTTCAATCGATTTTTGCAACATATCAGAAATCAAAAGCTTTGAGTAATCATCTATAAATTTTTTTTATTCAAATTCATCATTATTAATTTATTATTGTTATTCAACTATGAATTTGTTATCCTAAACCTATAGATCTTTTTATTGAATTTCAGAATTATTATTTTCTGTTTTTATATCTTATTATTAAATAATTTAATTCTATTCATTTTCTATTTATAGTAATTCCTATTGTTTTAGTTCTTTTTATTATTCTTGGATAGATTATTATTACACAGTTTATAAATTTAATTTTGATTCTGTAATTATAAATACTGGTTGAATAGTTGTTTAATCATATTATTTTTTAGATTACTCTTTTATATTGTTATTTTGTTCTACATCAAAACTTTATTTTGTGCTAATAATTGCAATTTATAGTAATTCTTTCATATAAATATTAGTTGTATTTTAGTCTGAATTTATTATTTTCAATAAAGTAATCTTTGGATCAGATGAATTAATAATGAAAAATTAAAATGCAGATAATAACAATTTTGCATAAACATCTTTTTTTAAACTCTATACAATATCTTTTGGGGGTTCTGTGAATGAAATACATTCCATATTTTTAGAATTAGCCAATTCAAATGCATCAACAAATGTTTGTATTTAATCTTCTTAATCTTAGATATGCTTATAATATTTTAATATATATACAAAGTTGTTAGGGATTTTCAAATGAATTATAAATTATATTCCATTTTGATGAAATGGAGTAATTGTTGGTATTCCTGCAATTACTAAAAAATATTATATATTTTTACATTATGGTCTAGTGTTTATTGATGACGTTTAAATTTTAATGAATTGAGCAGAATAAGGATCATGAGCAACATTTACTAATAATAATCAACAATTTGAAATTACATATGGCTGATGCTGATTCTGATAAAATATCACCCTAAAGTATTTGTACAAATGCTTTTCCTATAATTTTGGATAGACATAACTTAGATTTCATTAATGATTTCTATTCTTATCTTTCTTCTCCACATAAATCTATAATATAAAATTTATCTTACTTCCCATTTAATTAAAAAATAATGAAATAAAGTGAATTATTATATTCTTAACTATATAAACAATATTTTAAACATATAAATGATTTATTTTTTCATAATAATAATAGGATTGTTATTAAAGATATTATTATCATTTTAGAATAAATTGTATGTTTATAAATCAACATATTTAAAAATATATTGAATCTCTTTCTTTATTATAATTTTAATAATAGAGATGAGAAGATGATAAAGAAATCATTTTTGTCAATATTTCAAATTATAGTATATGTCTATGATTTTTATATATCTATGAGGGTATAGATAATTGATATCATTATGGTTATTCTATGGATTCTTATAGATTTGATTTTGGCTACTTTGGAATATCTTACATCTCCAATTCAGCTTCTCTTATTTCTTAGGAATTAATCCATTCATCAACATTTTGTTGTCTTTAAATTTGAGAATATTCACTATTGTAGCTAATTGCAAAAAAAATAGCATAAAGCTTTAATCAAATAAACATATACCACTGCTGTAATAAATAATGCAAATGCACCTTCAATTCTACTATGAGGTACTACATAGACAGTTTCAGATCCAATAGCTATCATTAATCCTAAATAAGTCATGAAAATGCATCCTGGAGCTGATATAAACATGCAATATTAAGCACAAGAAACCATTAAATTTAATTATGAAATTCATAAAAAATATAAGGAATTAATTCTTTTTACAATATTATTTTGAACTTATTATAAATTTTAAGGCAAAAATGTTAATCAATTTTTTAGTTTTAAAGCTAACTTAGCTGATCTTGGTGTATTAGTAGTTGTTGGTTATTTTGTGATTCGAGAAGAAGAAGTACTCGACACAACCATTTAACTACTTGGAACACTTATAGGATTATTATCAAAATCATATCCATTAAATAAATCTATATAATATAACATTTATACTTTATACTGAATTTCTTCTAAGCATTATTTATTATTCTTCATTAATGGAATCATCAGAATCTTGTCTATTATCTGAGGGAAGATAATTGTCTTCATTGCCCTAATAATCTTGTTTAATAATGAACATTAGGGATGAATGGAGCAATCAATTATTTTGTAATTAACTTTTCCCAACTAAAATCTTTGAACCATGGATGTTCCTTCACTTCATCTGGTCCATTGTTACCCAATCGATTCTATGGCTTCCTTTATAAAAGCTAAATATATATAATTAAATACTTTATTAGTAAAATCAGCTGCCTCTAAACTCCATCCTGGAGGTACTTCTTATCTCTTAATAACTGCTTATTTAGCAAGCATTTATTCTCTTATCTCTTATCTACTTCTTCCTAAATATGGTCTTCTTCCTAACATGCATTCATATATTATCACTCCAAGTGCAAAATAATCTACTGCTACACCATGATTATGTCCTATTATTAGAAAATTTAGATTTACTACACATAACTTCTGGAGCCATATATCCAGGAGTTCCACTTGTATCTTGTGAATTCTCAGGTTTCCATATTCTAGCTATGCCTAAATCAGTCAATCTGAGATATCCTAGTCTTATTAAATAAATGAAACATACCATTACTATCAAATACTAAATTTTCAGGTTTAAGATCTCTATGCAATATTCCTAATTAATGTAGATAATCTAATGCCACTATTATACATCCACTAAAAAACTCTTAATTTAGATATCATATATTTACTTGTTTATTCTTCATTAAATTTTCTGTGTCTTCCTATATGATATCTTAAATCTCCTCCAGATAATAAATCCATTACCAAATATAAATATTCTCGATCTTGAAAAGAATATTACATGTTAATAAGAAAACTTAATTCAATCTCAATATTTACTTATGTTTTAAACCACTCAATAACGACTTTTCATTCATTACTGATTAAACTGATTTCTTTTAAATAATTCTAAATTGTGAATCAATAATACTTTGGTTTAGACATCACTTTAAGAGCAAAAAATTACTTATTTTTCTTTTATCTAACTTTCCATACCTTACCAAATCCACCTCTTCCAATTGCATCAATAAATTGAAAATTTTATACAGAAACAACTTAAATATATGTTATTATATACCATTATTTTCCATAAGATCTTCCTTTTTTTCATTAATATTACAATTACCCATTCTTTTTATTTTTATTATTATTTATTTGATTCTTTATACTCTAATTTCAAAAGGAAATCTAGTCTTATCAGAATATACAGAATTAGAAGGTGATTTTACAGAAATGGCTCGTATTGTACTCAAAAGTATAAAACCAAATTAGTAAAAATAAATATTTAGTAAAGTATATGATGGTAAAAAGTAGAATGAATATGTCTTTTGTATTACATGCATTTTCAATCTTCGATTTTTATGTATGATTCATAATAGTTATAATAAAGAAAAAGCTTTTGCATTTCTTGAGGCTATTCTTTAAGAATACTAAAATTGTTCTAAAAGTATTATAAATTCAATATTTTAGATTCTGATTTTAATAATGGGTAATTCTCTTACCAACTATGTCTTATGATGAAAGCTTTTAATCAATTTGATTAAAAAGATGCATTAACTAATCTTGAAGATATTGTAGAAGACTTAAATGAATCAACATTTCAAAATTTGCGTAAAATGATTAGTATTTATAATATTAATTAGAAAGAGAAATTCGACTTGTTGTATTAGTGAAAAAAACAGAAGAATTAACTAAAAATGCAGATATTATATTTAAGTTTAGTAGAAATGTACATAGAGCAACAAGAGGCAATGAGTTTAGATTTGGAGGAAAAGTATTAATATTATCATTTGTTATTTTTGCAATTTTGAGTATATACATCTATTTTAAATTTATTACTAAATTTCTAAATTATTAAAATGATCAGAATAAAATAATGATCAATAATCTTCTACAATTTCAACAATTCCACATATGTCTATTATTGGATATAAATCTTTTGTTGTATCAATTTTCATAGTCTAATTAATTTATTATTTTTACAAAAATTTCTTCATTATTAATTATCCATGTTAGCAATTATTATTTTGTTTAAATCTTCAAACTAATTATGGATTCTTGATAAATCTTTATTTTCTAATGAGATTTATTATTAATTGATGCATCTAAATGAGAATAACTCATACTATTGCTTTAAATTATATATAATCTATATAGGAAAATTCAATACCCATGACCAATGTTCTTTAATTTATCCTAATAATTTGATTCTATTGGCTTCTCTAAATGACATAATCCCAAGGCAATGCTGAATCCACTCACAAATTTAAATTTTAAAATTTTCTCTTCATTTTTTGGAATCACATAATCACATAAAACATATCCAATTCCACATGCTTATTTCCCATTATTTTATATTTAAATATTTTAAATTGCCCTGTATTTTTCTGAAAACACTAAAAGATCTTATTTTAATGGTTTAATATTTTATATTTGTATTTATTCTTTTTTTAAAGATTTATCTTCCAAATTTTCATTATCAATTATTCTTAATGTATTTAGAACAGTTTTTATAAGACTTTTAAAAGTATTTATTTCATTTGTAAGATTGTTTATTTAAAAATTTACTTATTTTTCTATTGATTATAGTCCCATTAATTTCTTTATAAAATTTTCTAATTAGGAGATACCCATAGAGTCAATGTCTTAATTCTTCTAACTATACAAAAGATTCATTGTTTCATTTAATAAATTAGATAATTAGAGAATAAATCCCTAAAAATTTATTAAATTTTGATAAGACTTTAAGCACTAATCAATCCATGACTATAGTTGTCCATATTACTTTAAATCATTTTCATGCCCTTTATGAAATTCAACTTTACAGCCAATACAATATGGTCTGAGATTTTTACATTTTTCATTTATACACACACCTAAAATTTAACTCTCTTCATGGTCATTTTATTGGCACTTTAACAGTGACATTATATTTTGAAATACCTAATCCGATATATAAAATTAAATAAATACTTTTTGGTTGTAAAATAATTAAAATATATATTATTATTTGTATTATAAAAAATATAATTATGACTATCAATCACTAAAAATTACTAAAATAGTCAAGCATATGATTTAGTTTTTCTAATAATAAAATAAATATTAGGAAATAGAGTCTTAGAGGGAATCAATCCCTAAACTTTCAGCTTTTTAGACTGAGACTCTCTCTCTAATTTATATATGTAATAATTGGAGAAATATTTAAAAGAATTAGAAATTTATAATGTTTCAGAAAATTTATAAAATTAATAGAAATTATTTAATTTAAATGATAGAACAGTATAATAGAGTCATAATAATTTTAATAATTATGTTAAATCTCTCTATCAAAAATATATTTGAATTTTTAGACAAGAAAATAGATGGAGTTAAAGAAAATCTATTGAAAAATATAGGTAAATATGAATTTATATATTTAGATTAACTTTAGGGATTGGGAATACCTGATATCTGTATAATTACTAAATAATAGCCTCTTAATTTAATTAAATCATCCTTTGAGACCTTAACATCATTTCATTTTGTATAAGGTTTATGTCCTTAATCATAAGCAGATGTTTTTGCTTATCTACTAACGATTTTACAAAATTAAGAAAAAGCAAAGTAAACCTTGTTCTCTAAAAGTTAAAATATTACAAAAGTAAAATATATATCTATGCAGTTAACTTATCTTTCTTATGACAGTTTTAGCAAAACAATTTTGGTGTGCGAAATTTAATTAGAAGGTGAAAAAAAATAAAATATATTTGGGGTTCAAGAAAATTAAAAATTCATTTTGCCTACTAAATATCATTGGAAAGGGGCATATATAAGTAATATACTAAGAGCTATTGATGAAGATCTTAAGTTGGCAAGTGTAGGTAGATTCTTTAATAACATAAACTTAAAAAACAATATTAAATTAGGATAAATGATTTATTCACTTCTTGAATTAATCACAATTAATACATAATTTTTTTAGAATTTTGATAAAATAAGTTCAAACTAATGTTTGTGTGATTTTGATGATATTTTATACTATATATGTTGGCCTTTAGGTATTTTGGTCACATACTTAGTAAAATCTAATTAACTTTAAATTTTAATAAATGAATTAGAAAATATTTAAAATAATGTTGCCTTTTATTTAATTAAGAGTATTATTTTCTATAAAATGAAGTAGATTTTAAATTAAATTTAGATAATATTAAAAGTCTTTATCTTGTTTAGTTAATATAACATCGAATTACTCTCAATTAAATTTAATAAAATATTTATTTGGAAAAATTTTGATTAAATAAGGTAAATTTTAGTAAGCATTTTTGTTAATTTAAGAAATTTTAATAAACTGTTCTGAAAATTAGATAATTTGGATTACATTAGTAAAAAAATCAAATATTATTTTAGGCTTCAATATTTAGAAAATAAAATAATTATCAAGTCTGTCTTAGCTTATTAAACAAAGCAGCAGATCTAAAAGTAATGAAATAGAGAAAATAAACTTGGATTGAAATGTATCTTTAAAATTATAGAGTGTTAACTCAAGATTATTCAATAACTCATTTAGATGATTTAGATAAAATATATACATTAATTAATCCTATTGAAGTTGATTAAATTGAGAGTTTTACTTAATTGAGTAATTATCCTATACTTGAAAAATTATTAATGAGACTTAGGGTTTAAGAAAGAAAAGAATTAAAAGTATTAAAATATTTATAAATAGTAATGGCATATTTAAGCATAAAAATTAGTGAATAATTAGGCTTATAAAATTGAATAATATGTTTATGATTTCATCTCTTAAAATGAACTACTTTAGAATAAGAATAAACTTTCAGAATTTCAAAAAGAAATTATTAAACTTTCAATTTAAGTTGGTCATAAACAATTATAAAAATATTTATAATATTATTTCTATTATCCAACTAATTGTTCTAGTTCTTCACATGATAATTATAATAATATCGATAATGCATTCTTCGAAATTAGATTTAAAAATAAAAGTGTAAGAAAAAATTAAAATGATTTTGCAAAAGTAATATTAATAATTTATATTTTAGAGATAAAATAATAACAAATCAGTTTCTTTAAATGAACTTGATTCAGATGAAGAAGATTAACCTGAATTTTTAAATTATATTTTAAACAAATCTTTTGATTTTTCAGAATCTGTTTCAAAAAAAAATTTATAAAAATCAAATTACAAATAGATACTTCAAAATTACAAAATTTCACACCAAAAATATCCAAAATTAGCAATAAATAACTATTAGACAATCCAAGAAAATGCTTTCGAGAGTGTTGAATCTTAAAGGGATTATGTTTATAAATTAAAAGGAATTAGAAATTCAATTATGTAAAATAATAATATTAGGCAAAATTTTAATGATAATAAAACATAAAAAGTATAAATTTATGGATTAATTCATCATCTCAGTAATAATATAGATTAATAAAAATAAACTGAGATTGGAGATATAATGAAAAGAAAAAAAGATATTTTAAATCCTTTACTTAAAGAATTTATAGATTATATTTCTTAGACATAAAATATTCTAGATGAATTATTTTACAAAAATAATCAAATAATAAATCTTAATTAAAATTCTTAACATAAATCTATTCATAATTTAGAAAAATAAACATCAAAAAAAAAATAAACATAAATATTTATATCTTCTTTAAAAGAATCTTTAAAAGATAAAAATTATTAATAAAAATAAATAGATTTAAGAGATTTTTATACTATTTATGGATTTTAATTTAATGAATAAAATGAACAAGAAACATATTTATAGTTTACTAAACAAGAATCAATTTTTTTATATAATTGTAGCAAAATTGCTAATAAACTAAAATAATAAAATTTATCATAGAAACTTTTATAGAAATTAAGTAATCGTATTATTTCAATTTAAGTATCTTATTCTCTATTAGATACATATAAGGATGATCATTCTTAATTAATTTAAATGTATTTATTTATATAAAATAAATAGAATATCAAAAATAATACTCGATTTCTTAGAATGTGGGATCTCTAAAATAGTATCAATTCCTATATGGGTTGAAATTCATTTGATTAGATTAATAAAATTAAAAGGATGTAATTATGTTTTAGGATTACTATGTACTCTAGAAGATATTGACACATTTTAATTGCTAAAGAAAATAGTCTTGCAAACAGAAAATTTACTTTGAAAATATTCTTGATATTATATTGTTTATTTAATATTAAATTAATTATAATTATTTTCTATTTATTTAATAGATCTTTTTGATTTATAAGAATTATATTATTAATAATTTATAATCAAACAATGGTCTAATGAACAGAATTTCTAGCCTAAAATTTAGACTTATTAAAGTTTAATTGTGAATATTCTTGGGTTTCACTTTTTTTTAATTTGGAATTTTTTCTTACTACTTGAGATGATTGTATTTGAGAATCCTTTTTCAATACTTTGAAATTTGGGATTACACTAATACGAGGAGATTCTTGATCTACTTATAATTCTTCAGGATTTTTTTCAATTTCATTAATTTCTTTTTAAAGAAGATTATTGCTTCTGTCTCCATTTGTAGGACCTTATATTGATTTCTTTTTTGCTAATTATTATTAATCATGTTGAATAATGTCACATTAAAAATAAGGATGAGATAAAGCTGCTTCTGCACTTATTCTTTTTTCTGGATCTATTTCAAGAAGATTAATTAAAAGATCTGTTTCTTCAGGAGTAAGTTTATAGAGTTAAAGAATTTTAAAGTCTATGTTACAATTTTTATTCATCTTTAATATTTCATTTGATGTCTTTCCTGGAAATAAATCTCTGGTTGTGACTCTATTAAAAAATAAAAAAAGAATATTTATACAATTTAAAGAAAATACATCCAACACTAAAAAGATCTACTTTTTCATTATAACTATCTTTAAATTTTTCTGGAGCTGCATAACCAGGAGTGCCACATATTCTCAAGTCTTATGATGGATCAATATGAACTGCTAAGTGAAATTCTGTTAATTTAAGTCCTTCTATGGAATCTTTATTTTTGAATACTATATTTATTGGCTTAATGTCTCTATGCATTATATTATAGGAATGTATATCTCTAACAGCAGTAATCAATTGCTTTATGATACTGATAAATCAAATTACTTTCATAATAATTAATATTTAAGTTCTATCTAATGCGACATTCATAATTAATTCATATAAGTTTACTCCTTCCAAATACTCTTAAATTAAATATACAGTATTTTCTCCATTAAATACTTCATGTAAATTTTACACATATTCAGATTTAATTTTTGTTAAACAAGAGATCTCATTATGAATCCGAGTCTTATGTAAAATATAGAATAAATACAATAGAATCTTCAAACTAATTTTTGGCGAGACATTTTATTTCATATGAATTACCATTTATTCTGTCAATACATAAATATACCTAAATATTAAAATGAATTTACTTCATCAAAATTTCCTTCTCCTAATTATTACATAGGTTTATAAAGATGGCGAACTGTTTTATACATTATTTTATTTTTTATAGTTTATCGCAACTTCAAGAGATCCTCATGAGTAGAATGGAATTGTTTTTCAATGTTATTCCACATAATGCTAAAACTTATGAGTTAATTCATTTGATTTAATTGCCATGAAATGGTATTATGCAATTCTAATTCAATTATATATTTCGGTTCTTTTCCAATCTTTATTAACATCCAAACATACTTAATTTAGTGTAATCTTATTGGGAAGCAATTAAAGAACATATTTCTAATCTAAAAATGTGTGTTATCGGATACAAATGAAACTTAACTAAGACTCCATTAATTAAATAATAGATTTTTATATTTCATTCAATTAGACCCAACTTAGTTTCTTATCTTCTACTTTTTATAATCAAAAATGAATCAATTCTAATAATTTAATTTATAATTAAGAGACTTTCTATTTCTATACCTTTCTAATATTAAAACAAATATATTATAAATCATCAAAATAATATTTCTTTTAATTTTGACTTTCTTAAATTTTAGATGATGAATTAAATCTTATTTTATAATTTAATATCTTCTATATCTATAATATTTATATAGAATAAATTAAGTAAATATGAATAATAACTTAATAACAACTATTTAAGGTAAATAATATTTAAATTTGAAATAGAAATAAGTTTTTAATGATAGAACAGTTCAGTTTATTGATTTTTACTAATCTATATGGTTTCTATTTAATTGTAAACTTAAATTATTAATATATTGAATGATCCCTTAATCTAATGATGATAATTTAATATCATGAAAGATTATTCTATTTAAAGTTTATTATAACTTTTAATAAAACTAATTGTCAATAAGGTTATATAATTTATTACATGCATTCAAATAATTGAATTATTAATTTTTATATCATCAAATATATTTTGTAAACTATATTCAAATCATTTAATATTCATCTATTTCAAGGCATTTATCAAATACTAACTTATTTATTAAGATAATTATTAAATATAGATGATTATTTTTGATTTAAGAAAATAAATGTATTTATATTACAAAATTAGATGAATCTATTAATTTCTATCAATGTATAAACATATATATATATAAATAAATTAGAAGAATAAATAAATATTATTTTTTTTAAGAATATAATAATAATAATATATATATAGATGATTATATTCATAGACAGATATTTATGATTAAAAATGAATAGATTTGTTTTTGTTTAATAATAATTTAATATTTTATAATGTGAAATTCTTATTAAATGTTTTGGAAAATAATAGTTTTTTTTATTTATATATGATAAGTTAGAAATAATTGCCCAACATTTCAAGAACACCTCAAGCCAAAAGTTTTCATTCAATTGAACATTTATTCAACTCTTCTTAAAAATAATCTAAATAATTTCACGATAATTCGTTAAAATCTCTTAATAACATTAGTAATGTCTCATTCATTCGAAATGATAAACATGAGGTTAAATAAGATGTATTTATATTGTAAAATGTCTTTAGTAATATTATGCATCTCCATTGTTAAGCAAATCTTAAATGTTTGAAGTAGAGAGGCAAAGCAGACAAAGAAGAAATGAAGTTTATTCTTAAATGCTTAGTGAAAATCCATTTAAATTTAATAATGATTCATAAGAAGACATAGTTCCTGAATATCCTCGAAGTACTTACAAAAATTTATGCAAATATTAGAAGTATCTTCTATTCATGTGAATTTATTTGATCTAAGAGATAAAGAGAAATTAGCATAATTATTACATGAAACTAGTGAATTCTCTGATAAATTGTCCTAACATGTCCCATAAACAAAACCAGCTAATGTTCTAATTCAAAGATAAGATGTTATAAAATTAGCTTAATGGATTGATTATTAAATGAAAATAATAGTAGTTGATTCAAAACTTAAAGAAGAGAAGTTACTTATATAATTGGAATAAGTATTTAATTAGAGTCTCAAAGAATTAGTTAGAGAAATATCAATTGATTGTGTAGAAAAAGGGTAATAATTTACTTGTAATTAGAGTATTATTGGAAAAGATTTGGAATCAATATGTTAATTTTAATAACATAGTAATTTCAGCAAATCAGTAGGATACAATTAATTAAGAAAAAGAATACTTAAATCAATTAAAATAAGTAATACTAATATTAATATAGGTACATTAAACATATTAATTATCAGTTTAAGTTTATGAAGACAAAGTTAAATTATTAGAAAAATAAATACAATAATAATAATCAAAATATGAAGAAAAAATTATGGATTTTGATAATCTAAATTCTAAATATAAACATATTATCTAAAAATTTCAAGATTTAAAATTAGAAAATGATGAATTAAAAAATAATTATTGTATAACCATGAATGAAAATGAAGAATTATCTATTAAAAATAATTCTTTATTGATTGAAAATTAAAAAATATTGAAATAACTTAATGATAGAATTAATCATAGTCTTTAAAAATCAAAAAGAGGTTAAAATGCATATGGAGATTTTGATGATCATAAATCAACTAGTTGTTATGATTTATATTCTACAATGGAAATACATGTCAATAAATTAACATAAACAAATATTCCAGATAAAATTTAATAATATGCTTAAACTGATTACAGATATTTCAAACAAGTAGGTGTTTAATGTGACAATTTAGATATGGATGAATAACTCATTTCATCCCCTTAATCATCTATTAATAGGTAATTTTTATCATTTTTATAGAAATAATTCCAATCCTCCTAATTCAGAAATTAGAAAAATTAAGGAAATCAATTTTGCATTAGAAGAAAGAGTTCAAATAGAGATTTAAGTACAAGATCAATTAAAAAAATAAAAATAATAAATTTAAAGAGAAGTTGAAGCATAATAAATTAAATTAACTAATTAAGATAATTTAATTGTTCAATTATAAAAAGATATTGAAAATTTATAATAATAATTAGATAAGAAAAATGATAATAAATAAAGAGAAATGACAGTTGTTAGTATTGATTAATAAAATACAGATTAATAAATGACATTAGGTCCTTAATAAACTACTTCTTCAATAAAAACAAATTTAAAAATTGAATCACAAAATAAAATTCATGAAAATGTATCAGATTTAAATAAATTATCATAAAGTTAAAAATCTAAATAATTAATAAATTTAGAAGTCTCCAAACAATCATAATCATAATCATCCTAATAATTTAAACAAACAAATTCAACTGGATTAAGCAAATTAAGTTCAATTGAAACAAAAGATTCAAAAAAATAAGTTAAGTCCTTTAAAAATTCTACATAAATAATACCAAGAAGATAATCATAAAATTCACTACATGTTAGCAACTCTTAAGAATTAGATAAGAATTAAAATAATGAAGATCCTTTAAGTAAACTTGTTAATGATTTCATGATTGATACAAAGTATAATCATAATTAAAGATCAAGTATTGTTTAATAAAGAAGATAAACATAACAATAAAATTATATTATGATATAATAAGAAAAATTATGTAAAGAATTATTATTTATCATTAGAATAGAAATAATAAAAATTGAAAAGGGAAAACATTTATGTAGATGTTGCTTTAGCCTTTATAAGTTAATTATAACAAGATTTTAAATAAAATCCAGATTAAATAGAAAATACAATAACTCTATTAAACATATTAAAATAAGTTTCCTTTTTCTATAAAGAAAGATTGGAATAAAAGTATCCATTATATGCTATTTGTTATGAATATTTTATGAATCAATATGGATTAAAGAATGTTGCTGAATAAAAAATGACATAATTTTGTTAAAGCTTAATATTTTACAAATAAAATCATAGAATTAGATTATTCTCTAGATTTTTATAATTAAATGAAGGAATATCAAATGAAGATCTAGATTTTTATATATAATCATTATCAACTTTAGATGAACATTCTAATCCATTAAATCTGTTATACTGTAATTAAAATAATGATTGTATTTATGTTAAGTAATCTAAAATATAAAAATAATTAATGATATTAAATGAAAAAGGATAAGAGATACTTGAATAACTCAAATAAGATCATAAAATAATAAAAGGTGAGATATATGTTGATTTAGATTAATATTATTTGTTTTGCCTTGAACAATTTTAATATTTAAGAAAAATATAATAAGATAATTTTCATGAACTATTTTTGGCAATAGATGTTGATGATAATTAGATCATAAACATTGAAGAATTTTTAATATTATTTAATTTAATTGAAGATAATTAAAATTATTTATTGTATAAAAAATTATTTTTGAAAGAGATACAAAATAATGATGGATTAAACTTTTATTAATTTGGAATGTTTTGCATGCATAATAATTTGTTTACAAAGTAAAGATAGGATAATTTCTTTTTTTCAAATTAAGATAGCATAAATGCTATATATAATAATTGGGGATATTAAAGAAATATCATTACTGGTAGATTGAAATAGTCCAATTGTTTTAATTAATATTATTAGAATTTAATTAGGAAATTAGATAATGTATATTATAAGATTGAATATTATTAGGCTTTAAAAAATAATTTAAGTTATACTTGGAATTTATGGAAAATCTTAGAAGAATAATCCAAAAAAGTATTCTTGGATACTATAATTATGAGTTTTATAGGAAATAATTTAAATAGCATAACTGAAAAATATGAATTTTTATTCTCAAAAGATTGAATTTAAATTATAAATAAAGGAAAGCATATGTTAATAGAAATTAATTTTAAATTTATTTTCAAAATAAATGAATTAATAATCTTAATTTTGACTTTAAGAAATATCATACTTGATATACACTTATATATTAAGAATTCTTCAAATCTTTTTAAAAGAATTGGTAGAACTTATCAAAGAATCTATTAAACTTTTCTCTAAATCCCATAATTAATGTATTTTCACAAAATCATTTGCTTTTTTTAAATAATTATTTAACACAACTTATTTATGCTATGATTTGAATTACTGTTATTTTAATAGTTTAAATTGTTCCAAATTTTATTATATCTATTATTCTTATTATTAAACTTTATGCTTTTTCTCAACATTAAAAGATTTGGATCTCTCTTTTTAAAGAGTAATAAATTTATCATATTATAATGATTATAGTTTCATTTATTAAAATTTTTATTGTTTTTATTATTAAATTGTAAGACGAATTTGCTATTAAAGTTTAATCTAATCTTATTTTTGTTACTTTTTCATATCTCTATAAAGTTGCAGAGATTAATTTCTTGTCTCTTTGCTTTTTTACATCTATCCTAATAAAATTTTATACTCTCTCAGAATGCTAATTATATTAATTTCGAATATTATTAATATATTCAATTTTAACTTCAGTTTGTTACTATTTTACTTGTCTATATTAGAATTAAATATACAATTTTTATTTTTAGATGGCTAGCAATTTAATTCGATTAACCATAATATCTAATTATCTTTTCATTTCAATTTATTCTTTTTTAGACACTCTTTCACTTATATTAGAGATGGGATCATCAAGTTTAAATGAATCTTCTTTTAGACTAAGTGCTATTGACATACTAAATTTATTATAAATTTTAATATTAATTCATAATTAAATGAGTGGAAATAAGAAGATGGATGTTTTGATAAGCATGAAAGCTGAAATATAAGCATAAAAAGAAGGACAAGAAAAAATTTAAAAATTATGTTTTGAAAATATCAACATAGGATAATTTACAAATGAAACAATAAAATTATTGGCAAAATATAATGATTTAAGTAAAAATGATGAATAAAGAAAGTATGTTTGGAATTTAATGATTGCAAATTGTCATCTTTAGATAATTTAATAGGATTCCCAAATCTAACAAAATTACGATTATGCAATAATTATTTGGATAAGAATAGTCTCCAACATATTATATAGCATTTTCCAAAAGTGACATACTTAGATATAAGTGGAAATAAAAAAATAAGTTAAGATGTATATTATTATTTTGAATAAAAAAAGGATCTTAAAGTTTTGGTTGAATTAAAAGAATTATAGCATTTAGTGTTTAATGAAAAAGATATTGATAGAGTACTCTTGTTTGAATTGATACCATAATTGAGTTATATTGATCATAAGGACAAGGCTGGAAATGAAGTAGAAGATGAAGAAAATGATGATGAAGAAGATGAAGATGATGAGGATGAGGATGAAGATGAAGAAGATGAAGATTTAGAAGATGATGAGGAAGATGATGATGAAGAAGGTGCTGAAGAAGCAGAAGAATCTGAAGAAGAATAGCCAGTTTAGAAAAAGAAGAAATTATAATGAGAAAATATTAAAAATAAATATAGACTCATTTTTTAGATGGTTCAGTCAATAAACTTTAATAAAATTTTAGATTGGTTACACTTTTTGTATTTTTGAGTGTTTCATTTGAACATATCACTGATGATAGTTATGATTATGATTATTGGGATAATAGTGATTGTTAACTATTCTGAGAATTTTTAGTTCTTTTTCTTACTAAAGAATCTATTGTGTCTTTGGTAACTTAAGTAGATGAGTTTTTATCAAATTCATAAACTTTTTATCTTTTCTATTAATAGAAAAAGGTATTTTCAAACATAGGTGTAAATTAAGTAATCAACTTCTATTCCCTATTTAATTATTCGAATAATATTCTATCATTAGTTGTAGGCTGTTTAAATACTAGCTTAGTTAAGTCAGGTATATAAGGTGGATCTACTTTTTTTTAAATATATTTTGCTATATCAATATCTTAAAACCAAGGATGTGCTAATATATCATCAACTCCATTCTTTTATCCTAATCTCTTACTTGGATCTTTAATCATAAGTAATCTTATCAAATCTTTTACTTCTGGACTTAACTTTTTAGGAAATTTCACCTATTCATTTAATAATCTAGTGTAAATAATATTTTTATCTTCACAATAAAATGGTGGAAGTCCTGTAACAAATTCATATAATAATGCTCCTAAACAATAATAATCTATTAAATAATTATGTCCATCATTATGAAACATTTCAGGTGCCATATATTCAGGAGAACCACAAAATGAATAAGCATTTTATTCTGGTTGCATGTTGGGTCTTGCCAAACCAAAATCAGCCAATTAAATATGTCCTGTTATATCTATTAAAACATTTTCTGGTTTTAAATCTCTATAGATTATTTATTAGTGATGTAGAAATCCTAAAGCCAAACATACTTCTGTAATGTAAAATCTAGCTTGATTTTCTGTCATCTTTTCTACTCTTTTCATATAACTAAACATTTCTCCTCCAGGACAATACTCAATACCAAAAATTATCCAATTCTTAGTTTCAAATACAAATTCTATTTTTGATGTGAATAACGAACCTTTATTTGTAGTTTCTATAAGAATATCTCTTTCATTCTAAACTAAATCTTACTTTTCATTTTATATAACAAAACTTTTGCTTATTAACTTTAACGCAACGAAACTACCATCAATTAATGATCGAGATAAAATAACTGTTGAGAATCCACCTCTACCTATAACATGTAAAAATTGAAAGCAACTTAAATTCAATTGTTTTGGTGGACATATACCTATTATAGGTTTTAATCTAATGGTTTTTCCAATCATATGATTCATTGGGAGAGAGGGAACAGTGAGATAGTAATCAAATCCAATATTTTCATCTAATGTTGAGTATCCAACAACTTAATAGTTCCCAGATTTACTTTTTAGTACACTTAGAATTTTATCAGTTGTCACATTTGGATTAAATCTATGAATTTGTGTAACTTCAGAGGAATAATGAATGTAAACAGAAATTTCTTATTTAAGTATTTTATCAATAGATGAAGATTTTCCTCCTATTTAAATAGAGCTTGTTAAAATATCTTCAACGCTATTTCTTCGAGTCATTGAACCTTTATCTAGAATAAGTTTATTTTTATTTGTCAATTTTTAGTTTAGAATTAAGTTAATTCCCTTTGATATTTATTGAGATGGGAAATTCGTTTCAGTTGGAACTTTCGATGATTTTGCTTATGGTTTAGGTTTATCTCTAGAATTTGATCGTTATTAACTATGCACTCTCTCAGTTAAACTGCCATGATTAACCTTACGAGCTGAATCTTATTTCACCATATCCTTTAATATAATTTGCGATAGATTTCTTTAAATGAATTTTAAGGGAGATTATGATATATTTTTGCTAGTTTGATTTTTAGTGCTCATTTAAAAGTTTTATATTACACGAGCTGGTGACATTATCTATCCACTTCGTTATCTCATATATTGTTATCAAATAAAAAAATTAATATTATTTACATTATTGATAAGTAAAAATAATCAGATCAAAAATTTCTATTGATTATCATCTATTACTTGAAATGAGTTAATAATATAATTGTTATAATTATATTTCTTTATCATATATTTATTATTTTAATATTTAGTTATTTTCTTTAAAATAAGAAGGATGTTAAATAATAAATATAATTATTTATATTAAACTTTTATCATATATAATATTAATGATATTTTGAAAAAATATCAATTCATTCTAATTTAATATTCTCCATTCTATGTAATATATCTTACCCATGGTAATGCATTATATCCACTTTTATCTTAAATCTTTAAATATCTGACTTAAAAACCAGAGACAGTAAAGTAAGGAATTTCAAATGTGATATTGATAGGCATCTTCTAAAATTTATCTCTGTTTGGTGATACAATTCTATATTTAAATTTATATATATATATATACGTTGGGAGATGGAAGACTGCATTCATCATAAAATCTCTTTAACCTCCAAATTATTTGATACTCCAACACATAGCTTCCTTTTCAGGCATATAATTAACAGAACCATGTGCAGTTCTAAATTGAGGTTACTCTGCATCATCAGGAACAGGTACAAATATCTAAATTAATAATAAAATATTACTTCAACATTATTTGCAGTACTCTTAGGCTTGAAATTAGATTTAGCTTTAACTAGAAATTCAATTTTAGTTGCTGACTTTCTTTCTATAAGTACATCAACTGAAAATAATGGTTTGACTCTTATATCCAATCTATAGGAGATTAATTCGAAATCACCATCTGGAGGTGTAAATTATATAACTCTTTCATTTTCAAATTTTGATAATCTTACACATTAATGAAACTTAATATCATCAAATTCAACTGCTCTTGATTTTGATTAACGACCTTATGCTTCAAAAAATGCTTTGTCATTCAATCCTAATTTCAATTCAGGCATTCCACTCAACATACATTTGACCTATACTTATCCTATAATTTCGCTTTTTATTACATTTCCTTATTGACCTATTAACATATTCAATTTTTCAATAACATCCAAAAAAACTTCATTCTTTTTATATTTTATTCCCTCCTTTCTCCATGATATTTTATTAGAAACCAATGCAACCACATTAAAATTTGTTTATTCTGGTTATTTCTTGTCTTTCAATTAAAAACTTTCTGTTTTGATAAATTCTTTCAAAATTTTAAATTCTGTTGTTTACGGATATCCATTATCAAGCATTTCATCTAACAATTCATAAACTACAACAAAATTATCTCTAATTGATTCTTCTTCAACATTAACAAAATATTCCTATAATACTTATACCAATCTGAATAAAAATGAAAAAATCATTAGACAATTTGCATTTTAAGAACAGACAGTCATAAATATTAAATTATTATGCCTTATAAATATGTAAGTATATCCATCCTTATCTATCATTACAGGTTTTTAAGTATATTCATCGAACTCCAATAACTTTTTATTAAATGTTTCATGAATATTCGCAGGTAATTCATTTCTGTATTATCTTGTAATCAAGACTCTTCCTTTCTAATCTAAAATATAAATTGATGAAATTCCAAACATTAATAATAATAAAACACGTCTAATTAAAATAATTAGAATATATGCACAATATCTAAGTTAATAATCTAATAATAAATTAATAATTATATTATTATGCATTAATAGAATTTGCCTTTTGAATGTTTTGGTCAAAAAGATGTAAAATATATATGTCAACAATTGATTGGAAGCGGCAATCAAGGAAAGGTATATTAAGGCATCAGAGAGGACTAGCCTTAAACTAAATTAGCTATCAAATTTACAGATGATATAAAGGATGACGAATTGCAATTTTTAGATTATATCTTAAAATCAACAAAATAGCTTTCACACATAATCAAATACTATGAAGTAGTTGATTATACGAAAAATAATGTTTTTCAAAAAAATCCATAATTAGGAAAATATTTTTTTGTTATGGAATTAGGCTCTAAGAATTTACTTGAAGAAGTTATAACATCAACCAAATACAAAGATATATAAAAACTTGATATTATTAATTAAATTGCCCTTGGGATCTTTGAACTTCACTCAATAAAGCACACTCATCGTGACATTAAACCTGAAAACATCATTTTAGTTGGTAATACATGGAAATTATGTGATTTTGGATTTGTTAAACATAGCATAAGCTAAAAATAAACTTGCAAGGTAGGTACTCCTTATTATATTGCTCCAGAAGTTTTTGGATAAAATTCTGATTCTATTAAGTATGATAATAAAGTAGATGTTTGGTCTTTTGGATGTATCATATATGAAATATTTACAACCAATTTGTTTTTTCAAGGGGTATCACCTGAAGATGTGATTTCATAAATTGAAAATTATTGTAACAAATAATTTTCTAACCCTAGAGAGAAAAATACTGATCCCAGATTCTAAAATCTTCATAATTAGGAATTGTAAATATTATGCAAATGTATGATGACTGTGAATCCTTAAGAACGGTATGATTCTAAAGAAGTAGTGGAAAAACTCAAAAATATTTGGAAAGTTTTAAATAACCCGGCTGATATACCATCAAATGCAATATTTGAACAAAAGCCTAATGGATAAAGCAATCCCTTTGGAGGCATCAATTAAAAGTAACCTAATTAACAAACATAAATCTCTTTTGAAAGATAGTCTTAACCTTAAAGCACAGTAGAATCCAAGTTTCAATTTTAAAGTACAGCATAAACTTAAATCAATACTAATTAATAGATTTAACCATCAGCATTACCGAATAAGCCCAGCTCATAATAATAAAATAATATGTAAAATAAATAAAATCCATAAGCTTTCCAAAAATAAAATACTGTGTAAAATCAATAAACTGTAACATAATAAATTCCTACATTGTAAATTCCTATATAAAATCAATAAAATTTACAATCATAAGTTCCTATTTAAAATCAATAAACCATAACATAATAAATTCCTACATTGTAAATTCCTATATAAAATCAATAAAATTTACAATCATAAGTTCCTATTTAAAATCAATAAACCATAACATAATAAATTCCTACATTGTAAATTCCTATATAAAATCAATAAAATTTACAATCATAAGTTCCTATTTAAAATCAATAAACCGTAACATAATAAATTCCTACATTGTAAATTCCTATATAAAATCAATAAAATTTACAATCATAAGTTCCTATTTAAAATCAATAAACTGTAACATAATAAATTCCTACATTGTAAATTCCTATATAAAATCAATAAAATTTACAATCATAAGTTCCTATTTAAAATCAATAAACCATAACATAATAAATTCCTACATTGTAAATTCCTATATAAAATCAATAAAATTTACAATCATAAGTTCCTATTTAAAATCAATAAACCGTAACATAATAAATTCCTACATTGTAAATTCCTATATAAAATCAATAAAATTTACAATCATAAGTTCCTATTTAAAATCAATAAACTGTAACATAATAAATTCCTACATTGTAAATTCCTATATAAAATCAATAAAATTTACAATCATAAGTTCCTATTTAAAATCAATAAACCATAACATAATAAATTCCTACATTGTAAATTCCTATATAAAATCAATAAAATTTACAATCATAAGTTCCTATTTAAAATCAATAAACCGTAACATAATAAATTCCTACATTGTAAATTCCTATATAAAATCAATAAAATTTACAATCATAAGTTCCTATTTAAAATTAATAAACTAAAACATAATAAATTCTTACATAGTAGATTCCTATATAAAATCAATAAAATTTACAATCATAAGTTCCTATTTAAAATCAATAAACTTTACCATTAATAAATCATATATAAAATCAATAATAAATTCCTATATAAAATCAATCAACTTTACTATAATAAAATCATATATCAATTAACTAAAATCAACCATAAACAAATTCTAAATTATAAAATCCAAAACAATCATAAACAATTTAAAAAAATCAATCATAAACATAATTTTAAACTTCCAATCCATTATCAATGGTACAAAATAATCATAAATAAAATTAATCGATAGATGATTCAAATATTTTAAATTTATAAAAGGTAGATTCTACTTAAATTTTATCATAAAATAGTATTTATTAGATTAATAAAGATGATAATGATCTGATATCTAAATGTCTTGATAAAATAGTTCAACCAGAATATAAGAGTTAGCTTAAAGAATTTATTCAGACTACTTCTTCAAAAATAAAGACGAAGAATAGTGATGTGACACAAGATATGGTAAAAGAGAACTTGATTTAAATCCTTATTGAATTTATTGAAAGTAAAGTTTAAAATATTTGATAATGAAAAATTGATTAAAATGATTCTTCTTAATCCTTAGTTTAAATAATAATAAATATTTTAATTCAAAATCCTTGTTTAACTATTTGACCAGCTTTCGATAAATTTGCTGAAGATTTTTTACTCAAAATTGACATCAGTTCATTTTGTAGGGATACTGATAGATTGTTTTTCTATGGAGGAGATGAATCTGTTCTAAATTTGTTAACAGATTATTCTTCAGACTACTGTAAATAACCTTATTATTATTAAGTAGTTGAAAAATTTACTTTTTCTGATAATTCTTATTCTAATTGTTATACATATTCATCTAATTAATAAACTCTAGTTTATAAGGAACTTAATTATTATTTATAATAATCAATTTGATTTCCTATAGAATTTTTTTTTTGAATATCTTCCTTAGCAAAATTCAAAATCTAATAATAATTTTATGAATTAATTGATCTTCCTTAATATTTCAAATCGTATTTAGTAATTTAAAACTTCAACTCTTTTAACATCTTATTAACAATATTAAAATCTATTTATTTGCCTTCTTCTATTTCATGAAATTTTGGTATGAACTTTTCAAAGGTCTAATCAATGATTTCATTATCCTCAAATTCAAGATTTACTACTTCATCTTTAATATATAAGGTTTTATTCAGCTTTTTAACAAAAATGATTGCATAGACTACTTTTCTGAATCTTAAATAAATATTATGATTTCTGATCTAGAATTCATTTCTTAGGAGGACAAAATAATGTATATAATTTGAATATTAAATTAATTGAGAAAACAAAAATTATGTTCTCTTATTTTTAAGTAAATATGATAATAAACTATAACTTAATGCTACTTTATTTTATGAAATTGCTTTTCTTACAAGTAATTCTTCAAATTCAACTTGAAGTTAAATATATTAATTATTTAATTCTTCGAATTCTTATGCTATATCTTATTTTTATTATAAAAATTATTAGCTTAACTTCTCTTTTTCTAAGATTTATTAATCATATTAGTGACATGATTCAATTAATTGATCGATATATTGATTATCTTTTTATGCCTTTAGATTTTATTGTTCAAGAGCATCCTATAATTAATTTATTTTATCTTCTTATTATTCAATAATAATTTAATGTTCTAATTGTAATGAATCTTTTGCTTTAATGTGTTCAGAATTCAATTATTCAATTTTATATCTAAGTTATTCACCAACTTTATGCATGTCTTAAATATTTTTACAGACTTAATCATTTTCATCTTTTAATTGAGTATTTGTGGATATTAAACTCTAAATGATTTCTTTGATATCAATAAAAAATTCTTCAATTTGTATTTAATTATAACTATACTTCTTCTTTTTTTTAGGAACTGATTTACGACTGGAAGCAGATGAAGATTTTCTTCCTTCATATAATCTTTCATAAACGTTTGACTTTTTTTTTGCAACCAAACATTCTGCAATAGTTTCATCAATTTATTATTAAATATAATTAAACAATTTTGAAAATTCTTTATTTTACTATTCTAATTAATTTGAATAATCTTTTTATTGTTTAAATTGGTCATGTTAAATTTCATATTCTTTTCTTAATTTTTCATTTGCCCTATTCATTTCATCAAATTACAAAGCATAATTCTTTTCACATTCCATAGCAGTTTAAACTTAAATATTAAATTGTTCATTTAATTATTAATTTTTTTTTTCTAAATCCTCATATTAAATCTTTATATATTTCAACTCAACTAATTCTTAATGTTATTATTCCAATCTTGATCGATAATCATCTAACTCTTATTTTAATAATTCATTCTCAGTTTCCAATTACTTAAGCATATTCATTATACTATTTTCAAACTTATTTTTTTCAGATGTTACTTATCTTAATTATAATTCAGTTTCTTGTTTCTCTTTTTTTAAAATTGAATTCTTTTTAGTTAATTATTATAATTCATCTTCTAATCCTTTTACTGCATCTTTTATTAATGAGATTTGTTCAGTCACTTCTTGTTGAGTCATTTATTTCTAAGATAATTCTTAACTTTGAAATTTGACTTTCTCCAAAAGCTCTTAATTCTTATCTTAGACTTCCTTCAAAGCAACCAATAATTATTAGTTAAATTATTGCAATTACTTTGTTTTTTTTTATTAATTATCAAACATTTAATCATGTTCTTCTTAAAGAATAGAAAATTATCGATCACCATACTCTTTTTATTTAATTGCTTAACTCAATTATTCTTCTAACTCTTGTAATCTTTCTTAAAGTATATTAATTGTTTAGTCCTTAATCTATACATCATTACTCAATAACTTGATTCTAGTATAACTTTCTTATATAGCTTAGACACTGTCGTTCATACTTAAATTTAAAATTATTTATAAATAACAATCTAATCTCATTTCATAATCATTCCCACTATATTCAAACCACTCTTGGCCATTTCCCTTTTCAATTACTATAATTTTTTCTTATGATCCCCTCTACACTTATAGAATCCATGAAAATTTGTTGCAGATAAAAAAAGGCATAGAATTGGTAATGGCAACTTATGAAAATACTATTAATAAATTACCCAAATAGCTTTAAATCCAATTAAATCTCCTAAACACATGATAGCCCAAAAAATAGTTCCATAAACAAGGCAAGCCCAAAAAAAACACTAATCAACTTTATTCGATTGTTCTTAGGATTAAGTTTGAACATTCCATTTTTTAGCATTGAATTCAATCCACCAACACAATCCAACCAATTTTAATCCAAAATAATTCTTCATCAAAATAAATTGAACTAATTGTAATAATCCAACCAACAGATATGTATTTGACATATCCTACAAAATAATAAAACTCAATCCTGGTAATCCTGTTAGTACTACTGCTGCAATACAAATTAAAGGATGAGCAGCTTCTGTTATATCATACTATTGTACTAAAAGATCTTTCTAATATGTTAATTGCTTAATTTACATTAGCTGCTTCTATCTCTTCTTCCTATTGGTTATTTTGATAAACTGAATCATATTTGTCTACAGTTAGATCCACATCAGGTTCTACATGTTCTGTTATTCTCTTAGGCTATATATCAATCTTAAAATCCAATGATGTTTATTCCATTTAATATTATTTATTGTTATTTCATAATTAAAAATATAACTCAATATTTCCTTCTCCCACTACTTCATAGTGCTATTCTTCAATCAAAAGTAATTAACAATTTTAACATTTATAATCAAAAACTTAAGATGAATTAATTTCATTAGGAATAAATATTTTTGTTTAACAACCTACCTTTGTCTTAAAAGATAAAAAAAACTCTCGAGTTTCAGAGTAATATTAATTAGTTTCAATAGAATCTGTACAGATTTAATATGCATAAGGTCTTTTTAATGCACTAAGTTTTAATTATTAAAATGACCCATCTTCATAAAAAAGACCCTCCTCATACATTGTTGACATAGTTGTATGATCATTATATCCTTTGTATTACCAATAGGTCCATGATTATTAGTAACTATCGGCTTTGTCAAGAATAAAATCAAGTATATCTTTAGATTTTTAATCATCTCCAACAGCTCCAAATTCTGTCAAAAACCCTCCTATTTTAAGATCATTAACGTTTCTCATCTTTAAGTAATACATTAATTAATGAATCCTATTACAAATCAAAGATGAAATCTTCTCTATTCCACAATAAACATGATAACTGAATACTTCTTTATTTTCATATTCTTGTCCACCAATATTTTAATCAAAACCTGCTCCTAAAACATCAAGAAAATCAGATTCAAAAAATATTATTTTTTCTTTATCAACTTTTCTAATATAATTATGTATAAGTTTATAGAATGGAATTAAATATTTTTTATTTGCATGTCCTGGCCATATATAATCAACCATACTATTTTAGAAATTCCCTGGAGCTGGCTCATTCATAATTTCATATCCTATAACATTCCATTCATTTTTATGTTTTTCTGCTACTCTTTCCCAAAACTAACCATAATAATCAGCTAATCCATTAGTATTTGAATAAAGCATTTCAAAATTTCTTCCTATATCATTAGTAGAATAAAATAAAATAAATTTTTCCTAATAACAATCATCTAATATTGGATATCCTTTAGAATCAAATCTCATTTACATCGTTTTTGGAAATGGAAAATCGGTTTTTTAAATTGCCCAATCAGGAAATCCATTTCCACAAAATTACCTATTAAATAAGTCTTAATGAGCATCTAAAATAACATATATATTATATTTCGCAGCCATTCTCACAATCATCAAAATTTTATCTAAATACTCTTCGTCTACAACACCTCTCTTTGGCATCGCTCCTTCAAATGAAACATGAAGTCTAATAACATTAAAGCCATTCTTGCTTAATATTTAACAATCTTCTTCACTAAAAGACTCCATATAGTCAAACCCTTCTGTCTTTGGCAGATAAGGTGCTTATTTATAGACTACATTGAATCCATGAAAAATTCTAATTGCTCCATTCTGATCTTCAAAGTATCGACGTTCATTTAGAGTTATAGGAGAGGCAAACACACTTATAATTAAAATAAGGGTTTAATATATCTACATTTAATTTAGAGAATATTATTAATATCAATAATTAAATAAATAATAAAAATAAATTGATGAATTAATTAAAGGTAATTATAACAAAAAATACTAATAAACTCATTTTATAATTTATTTATATTTATTAAACCTTACCATATGAATTTCTTTAATTGAATGATAGAACTTATGTTTACATTCCAGATACCTATTTTATATTAATAATTTAAAAAATAGACTAATTTAATAGATTTTTTTATATTAGATTTGATTATTATTTAATCTCATTAATAAAATAATTAAAAGTATATATCATACAAAAACATAAAACATAATCAAAATTTTTTATTGATTCTGAAATATTTTTAAATCTTTTATAAACAAAACGAATAATTTAATAATTTTTCAGAAATTTTATTTTTCGATAAAACCTATTCATATAAATTTAGAATTAGATAAATTCTTTATTATTTATCTCTGAAATTTCATTATTTGAAGATCATTGAGACTTTTTATAAATCCTAAAAAGTTAATATAATACTTATCACTCTTAATTTGACATTTTTTCCTTAACTAAAAACTAATCTTCATCAAATAAAAATTTAATAATAGATTCAAACTTATTCTTTCATTATGCTAAAAAAATATAAATTTTCAATTTCTATTTAATCGAATTTTAACATATTTAAATATTAATTTAAATGATAGTTTTGTATATTATAAATTATTTAATTGAAAAAAGATATAAAAAGAAGAATGATTAATTTTAATTTAATATAAAATTCAAAGAAATTAACTTTTGATCTCTCCCTAATCTAAATCTACAAGACATCCTATGTTCTTAAATTATTATGATAATCTTTAAAATAGACTAACTTATAATAATTTAGCATCTTTTGATTAAACTTATGGTTATTCAAATTCTTAATCTTGTAATAATATAAATACTTTGCTTTTGAGAATACAAGATATACAAGATGGTTCAATAATTTTTGTAGATTAATCAACAATACAATAATCAAATGAATCTGATTATAAAATATCAGTACAATTTTAACAAGTTGAGAAATAGAAATGTTTATTTTTTAATTTCTTATTGATTTCTGAAATATCTTTAAACTTTTTAAAGTCAAAAGAATATTTTTAATATTTTTCTTGTATTTATTCTTTTTCTCCATATAATCTTAAAATCCATCCACATTCATTTGGAAATGTTTCGCTAAAATCATTTATTTATTCATCTAAAATATCATCATCAGCAGAACAAAATAATATATTTTTATTTTTGTATCCTAATAAAAATAATAAATGACTTAACATATTCCTTTTTCCATTACAACCTTAAATTAAAACAAAATCTTCAGCTAATAAACATAATTAAATAGCATTAAATTATTATTCATTTAATTATTATTTAAGATTCTATAACATTTATGAAAAAGATTATTGATCGCCTTCATAAAGATAAGATTAACTCTTAAATTAGGGAGTATAACCTAATATAAGAATTTCTTTTTTTCTTGATAATTTTTAATTTATAGCAAGTTCAAATGTAATAAAATTATAATGTTTAAATGGATTTTTTTACTATATTTATTGGATTAGAATATCTTCTATTTCTAATTCTTTACCAAAAGTACTTAGTTCTGTTTTAACTTGTAAATGCATACGAATCAGATATTCAAAATCATCTTCTTTATGATTTTCTAAACTAGATGTCTAATTTAATAAGTATTTTTAAATAATATTAGGTTACTTTTTTAAAATGAATTAATAGCTTTTTTAAGTTCTTTTACAAAAGAGGGTAAATTCTCTATTTGTAGGAAAACATTCTTTTAAAACTTAAAGAGCTTAACTTTCAAAATATGTGTTTTTTGAAGATAATATATAATGGTAGGTATCATTAAGGTTTTATTTTTATTTAATTTCATATTCAATTTGAGTTAGAGTTTATGCTTTTTTTTCTTATCTCAAATTTTTAATCATTTCATTTAAGTAAATTTTTGTTTATTAATTAACTTATTTTTTTATTTATTCATATGATTAAATTGGAAATTCGAATATTGATTAATTTTCTAATAAAAATAAACCATAACAAACATATTTAACTCCACATTTCTCACATTTCATTTATTCTTATTTTGTTTTAATTTCTAATTCAAGTTTAGGCAAAAGTGAAAAATCTTCTTCTTTCTTTAATTAACATAATTCTAATATATATAGATTTCTACAAAACAATAAGTCTTTTTATAGATATTAATTATTAGTAATGATTTTATAATCTGAATTATTTAAATATAATATCATTCCTAATAAGGTTTCCTATTCATAGTAATTATTCATTAAATATATATAAGTTTAAACTTAAGTATCATCAGAATTAAACTTCATTCCAGTTTTAATCTCTATTGGTATCTTACAAAATCTTTACTAATATTTATCTATAGTAATCTTAACTTCAAAAATCATATCAATAACTCCAACCAATCCCAAAACAGATGATTAAATTTTTTTTTCATTTGCGATCCATTTTATAATTTAGATTTAAAATTTATTCCATTATATTGGTTATTTATTAATAACAAATTTTTTAATCCAAATTAGTATCTTAATAAATCCTTATGATATACTAATTTCCATATCTTTATTATTCTCATTCCCCACTGTATATATTTCTTTTAAAAATTTAGATTAATTTTGTTCAAAAAATATCTTGAATTAAACAGGGATTTAATTAATATCTAATTCTTATTACTACGAATCATTTATTTATTAAAAATATTTCTCAAATTCATAGATAGATTCCATAAGATTTTAAAATATATAATGTAAAAAATTACCTCTTAATTTATTAAAATTGGTACCAAAAACTTAATTTGAAAAAAATTCTTTGACTAATGGTTTCCTTCTACAATATACTATATTACTTAATTTAGTAGCTGAAACCAAAGTTTTTGGCTCTAAAACATAAAAATGATTATTTTTTAATCTTTAACTGAAATAAATTGTGTTGTTATTATCAAAATTCCCATATACAAGAATTTACATTCCTTATTAAACATTATTTAAATTATTGTGATGATCAAAGAGCAAAATGAAATAGCGAATTTCCATTTAATCTTTTTTTGCCTCTATTAATAAATAATGATTGGTGGTGAATTTTTGAGCTTCCTATTTAATATTTAAAACATTTCCACCTTCAACTTATTATTGTGAATTTAAGATTTAAATGATAATCAAATTATGAAAAGCATTTTATTATTTAAGTTAATCACAATTAATGGTTGAGATATTGGAATCATTCTATAATTCTTCCTATAGATATTGATCTTATCCAATCATTTGCAATTTAATAAAAGAATAAATTATAAGGTGCCCTTGTTATAATGATTAAATATATAATATATTAAAATAAAGATTATTATTATGCAAAAGTATCACTTAGGTTGAATTCTATTTAATAATTTCAATAATGATTTTTGATTAGTATTTAATTCTGATTCACATTTCTTTATACATTTATTATCATTTTAACATGTTTCTAAACAGATTTTATTTTCATTTTATATCAACTACAACCCTTTTTTATAAATTAAGTATTCATTTGCACAAGTAGCATAACAAGAAGATTCAGGATTAAGCTCCCAACACTTATAACATTATGTTACTGCTTTTAAAAAGAAAGTCTCGTGATCCATTGATTAATTTTATTAAAAAAATATATTTTTTTTCATTTTTTCTTTTATACCACTATATTTTCTAGTATTAAAGATTAGACATCTGGTGAATTAGAATATAAAACTAAAGCAAATTTGCCTAAAGGAAAATTTGATGATTACTAAAATATGAATAATAATAAAACTTCTGTGATCTATAGTTTTTTGAATTCTCCTTTTCCTTTTAATAATAATTTAGTCTTTCCAACCAAAAGAGGCTTTCCTTGGGAATTGACAGTAATTTCTTTAGGAAATTTATCTGCTGAAAATCTTCATTAAAGGAATAGGGTACAATTTAATGTAGACTGTGTATTCTTCATTTTTTGTCAAATTGCCAGAATAATCTCTCAAAGAAATAGAAAGTGTGAAATCAGATTTGCAATATAAGTTTTAAATTTCTTTTTCCAGATGAATAAATATGTTTGCTTCATCATTACTATACAATTTGAATAAGTTCTTGTTTCTAGATCTATGCTTTTATTAAAAATTCTCTAAACTATGTTAAAAGGATTTAAGTCCCATGGAAAGGTTATGGATTTGAAGACTCTAAGATGATAGCATATCCTCAAGCATTTTGAAATTCAAATCTTTCTATTTATCGAGAAATTCTTACAATTCTTACATTAATAATCATAATGATTAAGGTATTGCCTTTGTTGCTTCTACTTACAATATGTTACTCTGAAGATGCACCTGTAGCAAGATTTGCATATGGAAATATGAATTTCATGCCAAGATAAAGAGCTCCCTTCTTTAGTGCTATAGCAGTTACCCCAGATTTGAAATTCCAAAAGATATCTCTTTCTGATTATTAAGGAAAGTATGTGGTATTGTTATTTTACCCATTTGATTTCACATACGTATGTCCAACAGAATTAGTTGCCTTTTCAAATGCAATTGATTAATTCAGAGCTTTGGGTGCAGAAGTATTAGGTATTTCAACAGATTCCCATTTTACTCATTTGGCATGGTTGAAAACACCAAGAAATTAAGGAGGTGTTGGAGATCTTCAGATTCCATTATTGGCAGATATTTCAAAGAATATATCAAAAGCATATGGTGTATTAGTTGAAGATGAATTGGATGAATTATATGGTGCTTCATTAAGAGGATTGTTTATAATAGATAAAAAAGGTATAGTAAGAACAATGTAAATAAATGATGCTCCAGTAGGAAGGTCAGTAGATGAGACATTAAGATTAATCTAAGCATTTTAATACACAGATACTCATGGTGAAGTATGTCCTGCAAATTGGAAACCTGGACAAAGAACTATTGTTCCAGATTAAGATAAAAAAGGGGAATATTTTGCAAAAAGTGAATTATGATCATTTATATCAGGTTAATTCATTTAATAGAGCTTTTCTTGTTATTGTCTTTTTTCCATCAAATTTATTAAATTTAGCAATCATTAATTCTGCATCTTATAAACTAACACTTCTTGTTGTTGAATGTTCTAAAATCTAGAGTACATCTAATACATCCATATATCCTTTATGAAAGTATCTATCTAAAGAATTTAAAGTTCCATCTCTTAAAAATTGTAATTTAGCTTTTTATAATTACTGTTCTTATTCACTTAATAATTCAAATAAATTATTGGCAACAATCTATACTGAACTTTATAGATCTGATACTTTTATCTTTTGTTACAAAGGTTGTCTGTCATCATAATAAGTGAGTATATTTAAAAAAAATTCTTTAGAAATATTCTTTGTATTAACTCCCAAATCAGACCATTCCTATTGCCAATCATTTGAAATTAAAGATTTTAAAATTATTACTTCTTCTAATTGAGCCATTACATTTTACAAACATCTTTATTAATTTAAGTAAACTGACATTAAAGTATTAAGTTCTTTAGATTCATTAGTAAATGATCTAGGTTCTGTATTTTAATTTGGAGTTCTAGTTCTAGTACGAGCCTACTTTGTTTCTGTAGTTCGTGTTGTAGCTGTTGGTGTTTTAGCACGAGGAGTGTGGCATCCTTTATTATCTAACTTTTAAATAACAACTGATTATTATGTTTAAAGTGGTTTATATCTTCTTCTCAATTTCTCCATATAACTCTAATGTTAAGGTTCTCTCTTTATTACTGTACTTATTTTCATTATAGGAATTTCAATTTTATCTTGCGATCTCTATCTTTATGTTTTAATAGCTTAACTAAAATCTTCAAATGTCATTATATTGGCATCTCCTCTACCAATTCTTTTTAATAATAGTTCTATTTCATCATCAGTTATAGTTTATCTTATTCTTATAAAGAATTTCTTTAGCTTTTATTAATCTACTATATTTGTTCCAAATGATAACTTTTTGAATAATACTTAAACATTATAATCCCATCTCTTAAGTACTTTAAATCTTTATTCATCTAATTATCTTTCTAATTTTATTTCTTCAAATAATAATCTTAAAAAAGTTATATCTGCTTCTTTTTTTTGAATAATACCTGGTTAACGTAAATATCTCTCTTAAAATTTAGAAAACATTAATTTATCTTCAAATCCACCTAAACGACCAATCAAATCTTTTAATTCATAGGTCTATGTTTCTATTTAATATTTTAATAAGTAATCTGATAATTAATCAATTCTACAAACAGAATTTTTAAAGAATGATGGAATGAATTCATTATCAGTTATTTCTTAAATAAATTCTAAACATCGATCTAGTCGTCTCTAATTATATATTTTGACATACCTCATTCCATTTATAATGATCTAGAAAAATTTACATAACTCTTATTAAGTTTCAATTGAACTCATGTCTTAATTCGTTAAAAAATTAATAAAATCAAAATAAAATAAATTCTCCTGATTTTGCTAAATTCTTTTTATTCCAAGTATTAATTATGACTTCAGGTTCTTCATTTGGAATTTCAACCAATTTAAACTATTTTCCTGTTTCTCTATTTAACATTTTTTGTTCTCTATCTTTTTAACTTTCACCTGATAAATAAAGAAAATTCTTGCAATCAACAAATTTTTTCTTTGGTTAATCTTACAATTTTTAATTATATTATGTAATTAATTTATTAGTATACAATCTTGTTTTATAAGATTAAGCAGTCTCATTTTCATTAATTTCTAAATTATATATTTATATTATATACTATTATCTGAAATTACAGTCTCAACCTATTTAAATGGATTATCAATCAATTTTGAATTAAAATTAGCTTAAATATCAGATAAAACAAATTGTTATTATTAACCAAGTCTTTCTGCATCGAAATCTGATAAAAATCTATTTACTAATCTATTTTCAAATTTTTAACAATTTTTAGATTTCATTGATTAAGTAAGTAATGAAAATTATGGTCTATTATCTTTGTGATCATACCATCTTAATTTTAAATACCAATATCTACTACTATTTTTTTCCTCTTCACCTTTACTAAGTTCTATTGCTTAAATCTTTTAATTTCTTTCTCTATATTAATCTGCTCTACTCATTATTGTTTATTCTGGTTCTCGTTAACAATTAGAAGCTACTTATATATTAACATTTTCCCATGAAGTCTTTACATTCTCAAACTTCTTCATAGCTCTTTCTTCTCTTGATAAAGCATTTTTTAAATGAAAAGGGAGTTTCTATTCTATCTTTTCTTATTCTATTTATGCTTCTTAAATGTGTTTTTCAGCATCTCTTACTATTTAATTTAATTCTCTTTTGCTTAAATAACGTTAATCAACTTTACTCTTCTTTGGTGTTTTCCTACCCTATTATTTATCTAGAATAATTGATTAAGCCTATTGATTAGTTCTAGTAGGAGGTTATTCATCTAATAATGAATCATCTGTTGTCATTTAATTCTATTAATTTTTCTTTAGTCTCTAATATTATCTTAGTTTCTCTTAATGTATTCTTAGAAATTATTAATATCCAACAACTGAATATTTGATCACCTTATCCTATTTATCACTATCATACTTAGGACCTCCTGTATAATCTATATACTTTTTTCGCTCTTCATTATTTGCCTCTACAATTCACTTATTACTTTACCATCAAATATATTCTATGTTGACGATGTTAAGGCAAACGTATCAGCAGCTTATTTCAATACTCTTTTACAATTACTCTGTTACTAGATTTGCTCTTGATTTTACATAAATTATTTAGTCTAATCTCCTAATCCATATTGAGTATTATAGAAATTGCCAGTTTCATATGATCTAAAAGTAGTTGTCTTAGTTGAATTAGGAATGTAATCCATCATTAATTCATTTTTAATTGTACCTTTTGATTGAAAGATAATTGGTTATGATAATAATAAGGTTTTTTTTGGTTTTTCTGACTTTCCTTGATTTAAAGGAATTCTCATTAAAAATTTATATTTTTATATATGATTTAAATAAAATCATTATGCTAATATTAATCAAATTTTTAATAGGATAGAATGATAACATCTTTAATTGCTATATATTTAAGAATGAGAAATGCTTGATTTATACTTAAGATATAAAATATGAAGTAAAATGTCTTTTAATTCAAGAATAAATAAATAAAATATTTTATTATAAATTCAAGTTTTTAATTTCAATATTTTCTCTAATATTGAATTCTATTCATCAATGGAGGTTTCTTTTTTAAATTGATCCCAAAGATCCATCCAATGTGTTTATTGATTTATACCCATAAACACAGGAATTTCAACCTTTTTTACTTCATTAAAACTCTTTTTTCTTTAATGTTATTATTAATAACTGCTTTTTTTCCTTTCTTCTTTGGTAACATAAACAGGTTTTAATTATTATTAAATAACTATATTAAGTTTTCCAAATTATTGAATAGATGGCTCTGACATATTTTTATAAAATTCAAGTTAAATAAATTTATCTAATTTCATACTAACGATTAAGAAAATATATTTATATATAAAATTAATGTACAATAAAGAATATGAAAATAAGAAAAATTATTTATGATAAAATCTTTTAATATGTTAAATTATTAAAGATTGCATTTAAAGCTTATCTATATATTAATATTAATTTGAATGAATAATTAAGTCTTCAAATCAGAAAAAGAATATCTAAAAGCAAAACAAAAATTATATCAAGACAAATTGAACTTAATTCTAACAGACATTGATCAATTTTATCGTATTAGATTATCAGGTAAATAATTTTTAATAAGATACTTCTAATATCTAATGGAGGTTAATGAAAGATAATAAAGAGGTGATAATTCTCCATTTTTTTATGAAATGGCTAATTATTTTAGAGAATTCAACATTAAATAATTTTTTCCAAAAAAAATTTGGTAATTCAATGTTACAAGTATATATTGTTCTATATGTAGAGCCTTTTATGAATAGTTTATCTAATGTCTCTGAGACTGATATTATAAATATATTCATTCTATTAAACTTAATACTGGAAGGAAAGTTTAATTATTACTCAGAATCAATTATCAAAGTACTCCCATATGAAGGAGGGAATGTTAAATTTCCTTTTGAATTTAATTATATAATAGGTTTTAATTTCTAAGGCTTTTTAAAATTAGTAATCTAAGTGATTCCAAAATTATATCCAATTTTAAATGATGAAGGTAAGCCATTACATTTTGAATTTCGACATGAAATAATTTTAGTAGGATTAGGTCCTGAAAATTAAAAGAATTCTATTGGTTATTATGAAATAGATAAATATTATAGAAATTAATAGACTTCTCCTAATTTTTTTGCTAATATGAAATTAGTTAAAGAAAAAATAAATACATCATAAATAATTCCTCATGCAACAAAAATTGGAATAAAACCTAAATCTTATAAGGATATATTACTTCCAAGAGAATTTTAAATTGTTAAATTAGATTGTTAAGATTATGTATATAATGAATCATTTAAAAGATGGATTCCAGCTTCAACTTAAATTCTTATTGATAACAAATTAGCTAGAATCAATTAATTTTCTAATAATCATTTTTTAATTTAAAAGTATAGTCAATAACCATCTGCATTCTAATTGTTTAAAATTATATAAAATATTCCTAATTATAAAGTCAATCTAACAAATGAGTAATAAGAAATTATTTCATATAATGGAGATGGATTAGTAATTGGTAGAAGTGGTACAGGTAAAACTACTTGTGCCTTACTAAGACTGTTTACAACAGATATACTATTTAAAATTAGAAGTAAATTAGATTAAATTAATTATTAAACTACAGATATATAATTAAATTAATAATAAAAGGATTGTTAATTAAAGACAGTTTTTGTTACAGCCAGTCCCTTATTAGCTTGTTAAGTTAAAAGATTATATGATAAATTAGTATAAAATATATAAGATGTCATTAATAATAAAAAGAGATAGTAGAAAAATTAGATGGAAACACAAATAGAGAATGATTAAGAGGATTTAGATCAAAGCACTTATTAAATTATAGATGCAATTAAAAGTGATTAATAATAATAAGAATATTAATAATTAAATCAAGAAGAGGAAATGGATGATTAAGAAATTGATGAATATGAAAAAGAAATGGGAAAATTCTTAAAGTTTTCTGATGTTACTTAATTTCCAATATTTGTAACATTGAGAAAGTTTCTATTTTTAGTTGATGCTTCATTAATCAATTCATTTTTTACTATTTTTGGTAATAAATAGGATAGATCATCTTAATGGCATAATGAATAATTTGGATAAATGAAATTATCTCAAAATAATGAAGTGATAGAAAAGAAATTAGAATAGTTTAATTAAAAATTAATGGATGAAATAGATAATTAAGATTATATTTAAATAAAAATGCCTGAAGTAACCTAAGATGTATTTGTAAGGATATTTTGGCCTAAAATATTAACTACTATAAAATCTAAGTGTCCAATATCAAAATGTTTTGATCCTATTTATGTTTGGTCAGAAATTTGTACAAAAATCAAAGGTCATGAAACATCTCATGAATATCCAGATAGATATATGAATTATGATAATTACTATTATATGTAAAGTTTACCTGAAGATTAATGTAGCTTTGTTTATGAAGCATTTTAAATTTATGAATAACATAAATATTAATTAGGATATTATGATTTATTGGATTTAGTGAATCATATAAATTATGAATTAGCTTATGGTAATGATATAATTGAAAATGTTCATTATTTAATATTAGATGAATTATAAGATGTTCCTAAGGCTGTTTTAATATTATTAGATTAATTAACAGAACTTGGTTTATTTTGTTGTGGTGATAATGCTTAAAACATAGCAAAAGGAATTAGTTATAAATTTTTTGAAGTTTAAAATTGTTTATTGTCTTTTAGAAATAGTAAGAAAAAAATTCATAGAAATCTTAAAATATTTGATTTAAGTGTAAACTTTAGATCTCATAATAAAATTTTATAATTAGCTAATTCTGTAATAAGAATGATTGAAATATTTTTTCCATATAAAATTGATAAATTAAAAAAGGAAACATCAAATTTAAAAGGTCCAAAACCAGTTGTAATAAAAAGTGATAATGTAAAACATTTATTAAATAATTTATGTGATTTCTTTTCAAATGATAAATAAATTGTAGAATTTGGTTGTAATTAAGTCATAATTGTAAAAGATTAAGATTCTAAAAGTAAATTACCTATTGAATTGTAAAATATTTTATGTTTAACTATTTATGAAGCAAAAGGTTTAGAATTTGATGATGTGATTTTATTTAATTTTTTCCATGATTCAACTGCATCTATAAAAGAATGGGAATCATTAAATGATTTAGAACCTTAGGTAGAGTATTTAAAGAAAATAGATTATGAAAAATATATAACAAGTATTAATAAATATTAATTATTAGATCATTAGACAGAAGTAATAGCTTCAAGTAAATAGAAGAATAATGAATTAGTAGAAGTTTGGTAATTGAAAATGAAAAATATGAAAGAATGTTAAGAAATATCTATAGATTTATGTTAAGAATTAAAATAACTTTATGTAGCTATAACAAGACCTAAAAAGAGATTAATAATATATGATTAATCATTAGAAAAAAGAAGATTTATCCAAAATATTTGGATAAAACTAAATGCTGTTAAAATTGTTGATTGTCAAATATAACCACAAGATATTAGATTTTAATTATTATTATAAAATAATAATAAAGAGAATTGGAAGCGATAAGGTTTTAAAATGTTTAGAATGAATAATTATGATTAAGCAGCAAAATGTTTTAAATTTGCAGAAGAAAAATAATTAGAATAGAAATCTATTGCTTATAATATTGTTGTTAATAATGCTCATATATCTAATAGTCATTAATAATTTTTATAAGCAGCTATTATTTTTGAAGAAATTGGTTTATTACCAAGGGCTGCTTAATGTTATTTTACTGCTAAATAATTTTAAAAAGCATAAGAATTATATGAAAAATTAGGATAGATTAATGAAATGGCTGAATCAGCATATTTTGCTCATAATTATTAAAAAGCAGCATAAGGTTTTGAGATTTTAGGTGATATAAGAAGATCTATAGATTGTTATTGTTTATAAAAGGATTGGGATAATGTTATTATAATGTTAAATAAATATAAATAAGAATTCAGTTAAAAAGAAAGATTAGCATTTTTAAATTAATTCTTTCCTAATTATTTATAAAATTTAGCTTAATAAATTTAAGATAAAGCTATAGAATAAAGTGATTGCACTTAAGAATTTTAAGCAATTAATTAAGAAGATAAATCAATTTTAAACTAATCAGAAAGTTTTATGATATAGAATTCAATAATTAATAAATCTGAAGAGGATTATTAAGTAATTAATAATTAAATCATTAATTAAAGTAATAATGAATAAAGTTTAGAGATTTTAAATAATGAAGAATAATCATAATCATTTTAAATTGAGAATGAGAGTTAATAAAACATGGAACATTTATCTATTTTTGATCCTGAAGATGAATGGTTAAAATATGATTAAAAATAATTGATAAAATCAATGTCATCTAAAATTAGTCATCAATCAGAATTTTCTAATATTGTACTTCTTAATTAACCACCTTAAATTACACTATTAACTTCTAAAAATAATATTTTCATTTCCAATTAAATATTATAAGAATTAATTCATAAATTACAATTATTTTCTAATGAATTTAAAAATCATTTAGATTAATAAAAATATAAATCAGTTTAATTATCTAATAGAAAAGATGATGAAAAAGAGTTTGATCATATAATAAATTTTGTTTATGATTTAGATAACATTGATATTGATTCAATTTATATGATTTTAGATATTTTGGAGTAATTTAAAAGTTATAAATTGTGCATCTATTTATGTAATCATTTTAAATTAGCTACATATTTAGGAAGATATTTAGTTTCTTTAATGTCCACTTATTCTACATTAAATAAAACTAAATCTTAAGTTAATATTCAAATGATTACATTTGGATCTATAAGAAGGAATCTATTGGAATAATCAGCAATATCTTAAATTGCAGTTAATAATATACTAGAAACTATTAATCCAATATTCTTAACATTTAAAAATGAAGAAGAATTAAGTCTTAATAATAGTTTAGGATTGAATTGTTATTAACAATTAATAGGATTAGGTTTTTGGAAGTCATTTATATACTAATTAAACTTTAAACATTCAATAGATTTGTGTATGTCTTTTAATAACTATTCAGATGCAATTGAAATATTTAAAAAAGTTTAATTAAATAGAAAATATGAATTATCAGAACAAGAGAAATTCAAATTGATGAAAATTCAATATTATTAATAAATAAAGTTAATACAAGGTTAACAGGAAAGAGCATCAGATTTTGTTAAAGAACTTGATGATATATTTTAAATTACAAAGAATTATTATATGAATAAAAAACAAGAATTAGAAGAAAAGGATCTTAATTAATTAATTATTAATGCTAATATTCATAAGACTAATCTCAATTTTAATCAAAAACTTAAATAAATAGAAGCTGTAATATTAAGTTTTGATATTCTTAAATTGAGATTTGAATGCTCATATGAAATATTTATAGGATTGTTTGAAATAGTTGAATATTTTCATAATTCATTAATTACATTTCAAAATTAAGAGGACATCAAAGAAGCTTTATTAATTTGTTATGGTTTTTCAATTCCTTAAGGAGATATAATGATTCATTACTCTCACTCTTTATTAATACATATTTCATCTAAAATTGTTAAATAAGTAGTGAAAGATTAAAAAAATAAAGATGATATTTAGAAATAGAATAGTTCTTTAATTTTTGTTGATATAGGATATGAATATATTTCAATTTAATTTGAACAAGCTATAGAATTAATTAAAAATTCATTTTCTTAAAAGATTATGATGATTTTAAATAATAAATCTAAAAAATCAATGGATTATTATTAAGTTAATGATGATGATTCTTTTTCTGTTAATTCTTAAGAAGATTGGGAAGATACATTAGCAGAATTATTAGTATTTTTAATGCTTGAGTAATCTAATAAAAAGTTTTAATGTAAGATTGCTTAGAAAAAAGAAGAATAAAAAAAATTGCATCCACTATCAATTTATTATTCTAAATAAACTGAATTATAGGAATATTCAATTGTTGATTCTGAACCATCCTAAATCTTATAACTTATATAAAGAATAATTTTGAAAAATAATTTAAGAATTATTAACACTCCTAATTATATTAAAAAATTGATTCGTGATATATCATTGAATTAAATAATTCAAATTAAAAATTAGAAAGATAATTCTCATTCAAAAATGATAATGGCTATTAATTTATTAAATTTGACTGATTAATTATCTTATGCTGTATTAATTCTTTAAAATTCAAAAAAAGGGAATGAACCATACCTTAAATATATTGAATTTCTTGAATGTTAACATTTTGGTATTGTTGAGGATGTCATAGGATGCTTTTTAGATTATAGTTAATTTGTAAATGACAAGTTTTATTTAGATGAATAATTATATCATGTAATTAGAATTGGTTTAAATATTCTTATATCATTATTGTGTAATAGTTAAGAGAAATTAACAATAGCTAAAAGTTATAAGGAATATTTAAATAATATTGAGAATGTTGATGAAAACAATTGCAAATTAGAGACTGGTATATTTTAATTAACTAATTAATAACTAATAGAAGAGTATTTATAATTTTTATTTGATTTTTACTAATATTGTTGTTCATAGTATTACTAAGATTAAATATAATAATTTTTGATGATTTTTGCAATAAATCTATTAAATATTCAATAAGGAAAAATAATAAAGAGTCTAATAGATTATATAAAAGATAATTAAAAATTAAAAAATTTGTAAAGGTTACAAGATTATTTAATTAAAGAAATTTCAAAGAATAAATAGGAAGTTTAAAAAAAAAAATTTATAATAATTACTCTTACAAGCTATTTAGAAGAAGATATTATTGAAGTGAAGATAGTAAATACAAAATCAGATTAATAATTAGATGAATGTTATGATAAATGTATCTAAGTTTGGAATGCTTATTAAAGTGAAACAGATAGTAAGATAAATTGTATGAAAGATTTGATTAAGAAGTGGAAAGGGTTCAGATAAAATCATAAAATATATTTGACTGAATAAATAAAGATGAATTTACAATTCATAAGAAGTTTAGAATACTTTAAAATAGGAGATTGTTAAAATTTAAGAGATTTAAATAGATATATGAGATAAAATATATCTAATTTTAATGAGGATTTATAATTAAGTGTAACATTATAGAGGTAATAAAATATATATATATATTTATAGATAACTATTAAAGGCAAGGTAAAATTTTGTTAATTCACTTGATATTCATTTAATAAATTCTTTATTGAATGATTTGGGAGAATAGATGAAATTATTGTTAAAGGGAAATGATATTCATTAAAAAGTGAAATAATTGGAAATGGATCTTAAAATGTGGGAAAAGAATGATGAAGAAAGATAGACTAATGAAAAAATGTTAGAATTAAATAAGTAATTGATTATAGAAAAGTGGAAAGATTTAAAAGCTGGAATTAAATTAAATTCAAACAAATTAAATTAACAATCAAATTCAAGAGTTTAAAAGGATTAATTGACAACAATATAGGAAGTTGTAGAGGAAGGTTGATAATGATTTAAAAAGATGATTAATATCATTAAAAGAGAATATATTAAATAAATTTAATAAATATTTTTTGATTTCTTATCAGATAATTGGATTAAAGATGATCTGTTATCTGATAATATAAAATTAAAAGTTAATTATGAATATAAATCATATAAATTAATATTGGTTGTTTATATATATTCAAATTACTATATTGTAAAATTTTAATTGCTTTAGAATACATTATATATTATAGTTTTTCTTATAAATTTTTTTATAATATATTTAATTTGTTTTGAATAATAATTTATTTATCAATCAATAGGGTTGACATTACTATCTCAAATAATTCAATAGATATTCAATAAAGGTATTGCATAAATAAAAAGAATAGTAACTATGATAATAAATATCTTTGTATAGTAAATATTAATAAAGATTCTACACACTATAATAAGTTAAAAGATTGATTCTTTTATTATTTTCTCTTTTATAAATTAATATTAATGAGCCTTAGAGACTTCAACTATATCACAATGTCTGCCTGTAAATTTTGGGAAAATTAACTAAAAACTACTAAAAAGGAAGAGGAATCTACAGTTTGCAGTATATAAAACCAACCTTAACCATCTATACTGGAAGTTTCAGCATAGAAGTGTGAGGAATACTTATTTGGTGGAGAAGAGAAAATCTAATCTGTTGTTGAATCGATTGATTGTATTGAATAATAGGATGAAGAGAAGAAAAAGTCAAAGGATGACGATAGTTCCTCATCAATGTCTGACAAAGAGAGTAGAGGAGAATCTAGAAAGTCTAAAACAACTTCAAGTAAGAGAAAAGGTTAGTGTCTAATATAATTTTAGGAAAAAAGAGACTTACAATATAATAGAATCATCTTATAATGGAAAATATGAGGAAGGGTTCTAATTTCAATGAAATAGTGTAGTAGATTCCAGGAAGTTCTATAAATTTAATCAAAAGGTAATTTAGAAAAAAGCTGAGAGTGTTAAATGAGGAGTCTGAAGATAGAGAGATTACAAATACTATAATTCGGATACAAGAATTGATAGAGTAAGTATAATTTGTAATTATTAAATAGAGATTAGAGTATAGAGAAAGAAGTAAAAATAAGAGAACTAAAGATAATGATATCGAACATAGAGAATCATTTACACTAAACAAAATAATTAATACTATAGAAATACTTATCCTTATTTCAATAAGAGTGATGATCTTTCATACGTTTCTACAAATTTCTAAAACAAAAAAACTAATTCAGTCATATGATTCAGACAATTGAGATTCTTAATCTTTTTAAGAATTATCTATTTCTTCTTCGTTTTCATTTCCATCTTCTTCTTCAATCTTTTATGAATATAAGGAATCTGTTTTATGTTAAATACCAACCAATTTTTCTAATTCCATAATTCTTTTATGTGAAAATAGAATAGATTATCTAAATTAATATTTAAAATAATATCTACTGAATTTATAATTTATCTCTATTCAATCCTTCAATTTCTCTCATTAACTTATAATTTTCATTCTTTTCATCATGAAGTCTCTCTTTTAATTTGCTATGAAAACTCTTAAGCATTGGTTATAATTCTCTTATATTTGTTATATTGTCATTATTAATTTTTTCATTCATTTTTTTAAGTTCTTCCTATCATTTCCAAAATATTTAATTACTTCTGTTTTTTTAATTAATTCTTTATATTCCAATAAAGATTCTTATAATTATTTAATGGATGTTGTATATAATGTACTCATAGCAGCTACATTATCACTTGCACTCATTCTGGTTTTATACTTTTCATCTAAATTGACAAATTATTTCTATTTCTCATCATATATATCAGGAGGTTCATAAAGTTAACCCATTCCAGCTCTTGTAAGCACTTATGACACAGATTTGCTGACTTCATCTCCTTGGAGAAGCTAACTTGTTACATGATCTAACCTTTAAGGATTTTTAATTTGTGAGCATGATATCCTTTGGTAAATATGGACCATTATTTTAACCAAGATTAAGACTGTATAATCCTCCTTGTTTGCTTGGTCTAACTTCAACTTTCATTATTAAAATAAATAATATTTTCTTAGTAATTATTATATTTTATTTCGATTCTTTTATATTCTTAATTTTTCTCGAAATATACCTATTGATTATACAAATATGTGTAATAAAGAATATTTATAGATATTTTTTAAATGCTAGACTTAATAAGTTAAATAAAGTAATTAACATTATTATTGTATTTAAATCAAGTATTCCTTAATTTTCGAATTTTTTGTAATTTGTAAACAATGTCTTCTAATCCTATTTATTTAGGTGTCTCATGAACTCTATCAGATTGTAATGAAAGATTTCTGATTCTCAAGTGTTAGTTAGCTTAAGATTTGAAAAGTTAATCATAGGCCTTATGATCAAATTTTGTTAATGGAGCCACTAGCAATGGATCAAGTCTTCTAAATTGTGCTGTTCTTTTTCTTTCTAAAAATAAGCTTTGGGGTTAAAATATAGATTATTTCCACTTATCCATATAAATAATATTAAAATACAATAATTGATCTAAAAGTGATGGAATCATTTAATTAAAATTTTATTATAATAACTATATATTCTAAAATATTATCTATTCTATTTATAAGAGATATTTATATATATAGAAATATTAATAATTTCTAATTATTTTACTAATATTAATTTATCATATTTAAAGAATATCCTAAAAATTAAGAAACAAAATATATAATAAGAATTAATTTAAGATTTCACTATGAAATTTTATATATATATATATATTAAAATCAATCAAATATTTTAATGAGCACTTTTATTTCTTGTTATATTTCTTCTATGTCTTCTATGTCTCAATCTAATTAATTCTTCTTCTTCTTCTTCACATATTTCTTGTACTTACAAAAATGATGGAGATTATATTTCTTATTTTTATTCTTAATCTAATTCTTTAATTTAATCAAAATTAAATGAATAATTCATCTATGATATAATTTATAATACATTTGTATCATTCTTTTGATTACATGAAGTACTTCTAATCATACTACTTTTACGAGATGCAGGTTTTCGTATAGAATTACGCATCTTAAGCATATTAGTAGGAGATATAAAACCAGGTGTTTTGGTGCCGTCATCTTGAAAAGAGTCAGTAAGAGGATTAATGCAAGGTGAACTTTCAAAGTAATCTTATTTATCCCACATCTCTTTTAGAACCTAAGTAAATCTAGTAAATTCATCTTCTTTAGGTTATTAAATAGAGATCGAACCATAAAACTCAATCAATTGTTTTTTAGATTAAAGACTTGGATTTATTAGATTATGTTTTTCTTTAACATAATAAAATGCCTTTTCATAAGTCCAACCTCGACTAATTAGATAAGCTATTATAATAGTTGGTGCTCCTTGTAATCCATTATTACAAACTACAAGAATTGAAGATAATTTCAATCCACTTTAGATTAATTCACAAATATTTTAAAGTTATTGTGTAGATTTGTTTTCTTATAAAAAAACTTACTAAATACTAAGATCATTCAATTACATAGTATCGTGCAAAATCAGTATAATGTTTGGAAGGACTCTTGTCTACACAAATAATAGTCCTTAAATTTCTGGATCGAAGTAGATTCAATTAATCAACTGTATGAATGTTGGACATATAAAGGGAATGAAATTTGTCACTGATTATATGATAAACTTAAGACGAATTCATTTTGATAATAATAAATTATGAACATTAATAACTAATTACTAAAGATTGTACAAGATGTATAAAATGATCTTATTCTTATAGATTTAATTAGTAATCAAGAGTGATTTTGATCTCAAGCCTAATGTCGATGAATTGATCAAAATATTAAGATAATAAGTAACAATTCTGATTGAGTTGGTACAATAACAAAAGAGTGTTGAGTATGATTAATTGGAGAAGGCAGTTTAGAAGGCTGAAGCTGAAATTCGAAATCATGTTAGAGTAAATATGCAATTATTAACAATTTAGGTCGAATAGTAAATGAAATTATATTCAGACAGTCTCTAAGAGAAGATTGATTAATTAGAGAGGGAAAAATAAGAATTACTTGATAAAGTATACTATTATGTTACTAAACTTTAAGAATAAGACACTTCTTTAAAGTCAGGAACGTAAGATCTCTTCATAAAATGCTACCAGAGAATCAAGTCCTAGTTTATTCAAGAAATCTTATATATTAGGCAATTAGGTTTATAATAGATAATAAGGTACATCATAAGACAATTGTACATCAGTCATATAAAATTGTGATAGTCATTAAACCAGAGATAAAAGAAGTTCTGGTACTTAACATTCATATATAATGATGAAAAATATGTATGAAATTTAAATATCCTTGTTAGTCGAGAAAAAATAAATATGAATGCTTCATAAGAAAAAGTTAATGATAAAAGTTCTACAATTCTCAAATCTCAAAATAGCTCTGCATTAATTAAGATGTTTAATATATAAAAATTGATCATTAAAAATCAATAAGATCAACATTTACAATAATTAAAAAAGTATTAAAAATTATTTATACATTTAGTAAAACATTGAATCAGATATTGGATGATTCATAAGCTACAAAAAAGAAACCTTGAAATTATCAAACATTATCTCAAAAATTATATATATATATATTTATTAAACCGTTCATTATTTTAAATTTAAACAAAAATCATGTATGAAAAAGTTAAAGTAGCAGTTCGTTTACGTCCTTTATTAGATGAAGAATTACTAAATAAAGATAAATCTATTTGTGTAGATTCTATTGATCCTTCAAAAAAATCAATTATAAGTATTTTGTTTATTTTATTCATTAATTAGTTAAGAAAGACTTTGAAAAAAGACAATTTAACTTTGATACTGTATTTGATCCTAAAGTTACTTAAAGTTAAATTTACAATGAAATAGCTAAAAATATTGTTACTGTATTAAAATCGATTGAAATTATAGAGTGTGATTAAAGGTTTTAATGGAACTATATTTTGTTATGGTTAAACAGGAACAGGTAAAACATATACTATAATGGGTAAAATTGATACTGAAGAAAAAGGAATAACTCCACGAACATTTGAATAAATATTTCATGAAATTTAACTTGATGATGATTATACTTATACTGTATAAATGGGATATTTATAAATATATATGGAAATGGTATAGATCAATATCTATTTTTAATTGCATAGTTGTTAGATTTAATAAGACCTGATAATACTGAAGTTAAAATTAGAGAATCATTAGATCATGGAGTATTCATATCTGGTTTGGAATGGCTTAAAGTAGTATCACCATAAGAATGTTTAAAAATTATTAATTTAGCAGAGAAAAATAAAGTTGTTGCTTTTACTAATCTAAATGCTCATTCATCAAGATCTCATTCTATATTAATTATTAAATTAGAAAAGAAATCTTAAAGATAACATTCTAAATCAATAAGTAACTTTTAAAAATCTTATAAATAAAAAACTAATCTTTCTTAAGATATTTCAATTGATTAATTAGATAATAATAATAATAATAATAATGGTGGTACTTTATATTTAGTAGATTTGGCTGGTAGTGAAAGAATCAAAAAATCTAAAGCTTCAGGTGATAGATTAAATGAAGCTCGATCAATAAATAGTTCATTAACAGCTTTAGGAAAATGTATTCATGCTTTAACAGATCAAAAAAATACATTTGTTCCATTTAGAGATTCCAAATTAACTAGAATATTATAAGAAGCATTAGGTGGAAATTGTAAAACTGCTTTAATTGTAAATATTGGACCAGCAGGAAAACATGTTGATGAAACTATGTCCAGTCTTACTTTTGGTATGAGAGCTATGAAAATAACAAATAATCTAAAAATTAATTAAACAATTGATTTTGAAGTATATTTTATACTCAATTATCTATTAGTAACTTGCATAATAACTAAAAGTAGAATTATAAATGAAAGATGAAATCATATTAAAATTAGAAACATAGAAAATAAAAGCAAATCAATAAGATAATTATATGAGTAATTCAGAAATGTAATATAAAATTAAATTGGAGAGAGTAGAAGAATAACATAAAGGATTCTTGGAAGAAATTGATAAAGTAATGGTTGAGTAAGAATAAGAAAATGAATAATTAAAAAAGTAATTGGCTCATATTATGATTGAATTAGAAGAATCTAATAATAGAGAAGAATTTCT